AGGTGCAGGGAGCGTGTGCACACCTCCGGGGGCGAAGCTGTGCTCCTGAAACGACATCCGCTGGTCAACAACGAGCAAATCAGTAAAATGCGATTTAAAGTTTGTGATTATTAAATCCCTTTAATCCACTTAGCTTAAAATACGGATTTCAGGCCAGAAACTCTCTTTTATCACTGGTTGATCACATACTCACTGCATAGTTTTCCTGTTGGGAAAGACATCAAAATTACAAATTCTCTCTAAAAAAAAGTTGAGTTCTCATTCAAAAAATCCAAACCAGGTGTCCTCGCTGGCCGGCCTGGCAGGAGGAATCTGGGGCTGACCCCGAAGGAACTGGGTGGACATGAGGGTGAGGGCCGCGGCGGGGTTCAGGGGAGGACGCGGTGTCCACAGCGTGGGCTGACCACGGTTGGGCCTTGGGAAGATGCCCGGCTGTCCGGGGTCAGTGCAGCAGCTCGGGCCACCCCCGGCTGACCCCAAGTCAGGACAGATGGCCTCACAGAGGCTCTGTCAGCGTTGTGGGAATAAGCGAGAAAGATGATGTCAGTTCTTGCATATTTTGGATCGAAATGCACCGGGAGCCAGCACTTTCTTCCTCTCCTGTGGTCCCGGCCTTGCGGCCTCTGGTCTGAGTTTTGCACGGCCCCGTGGCTGCTGCTGGGTCGCGGTGACCGCGTCACCCCCTCGCTGAGCTGGCATCTCACCCGCACGCGCCCTGGGGTCTTTGATTCACTTTACTTTCTTTTTAAAGAAAGTCAATTGCTTGACTTACTATTGATTTCTCCAAACTAGCTAAATCTGGGGGTTACATCTTCAGGCTCTATGTGCTTAGGGCTCCCCTCACCCACCAGTTCCTGGGCCCTCCACACCCCAGGTCTACCCCTCAACCCCACCCCTCCACCATGCACCCCTCCACTGCTCCCCCCACTCTGCCCCCACCCCCCCATACCAGCAGCACTCTGCCCCTCCCCCTGCCCCACTCCTGTACCCCTCTGTCCCCCACCCAAGGGCCACCTCTCACCCTTCCACCCTGCACCCCTCCCCTACACGCCCCGCCCCACCGGCTCTGCCCCCCGCCCCTTCTGGAAATCAGCGTATTCTCCTAAGAGCCACTTGGTTGTGAAATGTTGGTTCTTCGGCGTCAGGTGCCCGTGGTGCACAGACGAGTGCACCCGCCGCGACTGTCTTCCACCTGCTGACCGGCCTGGCTCAGCGGCCCCCCTTCTGCCCACGCCGACCCCAGGCACAGCTGTCGTCCCTGTGACTGAGTCGCTGTCCTTGGAGTCCATGTCCCGGACACACGGGGTCCCATGCGAGCCCCTGCAGGGTCCAGGTCACCCAGCAACCCCTGCCCCTCGCCAGAGGCCAGCCCACGTCTTCCTCGCGTGGAGCCCAGTTCCACCCACCACCCAGGCCTGTCTCCCCCGGGCTCCGCTGGCTGCTTCCTGCCCAAGCCTCGAGGGTTGCCTCAACGTTGGTTGTCTCCTCTGCAGCCGCGAGCGCCCTTCTGAAGCTGGCGCCCGTCACCACCTGCCCAGCCCTCAGGACTCTCGGGGCGGGCCCCGCCACAGGGTGCCCGCGGCCACCTGCTCCTGCCTCCCCCGCATCTTGTCAGACCCCCACAAGCACATATACCCAGAGGGGTTCACCCTTGTAGCCCCAAAGCCCAAGGGACCCGACAGCGCACCCACCAAAGGCGTCAACATGCTGGGGGGTCTCCACCGACAAACCAGGGTGCCAGGGGAGGGCCCTAGATAAACCTGAACATCTGGATGGCTGAGCCCGTTCCTTACACCCCACCCCATGTTGCAGGCTGTGCCCACTGGGGTCTTCAGGGTGGGAGGGCCGCGCCCCGAGTACACTCAGCCCGGGGCCCACCACACCCACCCCACCCACACACTCGCCCTGCAGAGGAGGTGAACACGCAAGGCGGCCCGACCCGGCGTCCGAGCAGCAGCACAGGGAAGCAGGAGCCCCCGGGGCATGCAGGCCTCACCCCACAGGCTCCGGGAGTAAAGCACCTCCAGTGCCAGAGCTGGTCAGAGGGTGAGCCGTCCCTCCCCGCGCCGGAGGGGAACAGGGGAGTAGCCGGAGAGTGAGGCCATCAGGACAACAGGTGACAATTTAATTTACAGAGAACGATTTCCCCTTCAAAATAGCTGCTCCCTGGTGGCGCAAGGGGTTGAGACGCAACCTAGGAAGCTGTCCGCAGCCTCTGCAGCACGAGTTCAATCCCCGGCCAGGGAGCTGCCCACATGGTGCAGCAGACCTCGCCTGTCTCCCCGCTGCTCCCCTCAGCAGTGGATTCTAGTCGACCTGCCTGTTCTGTTCCCCGCTCTGTCTCTAGTGAATCCTCTCACCCCCCACACCTCTGGCCTGTACCCCAGCTCTTATATGCATAAGTAAATAAAATAAATCTTTTTTAAAAAATAACTCCTCTGGACAGGTAACGTGCTCTTTAAAAAAAAAAAGAAGTAAGTGTGGGGACTTTGAGAGAAAAGCATGGAGCCCCCCCACCACTACCCCAGGCTTCAGCTCTGCTGCGTCTGCACCTCACACCTCCTCTGCGGAAGGACCCCCTGTGTGTGCGGGTCCCCGAGCCCCCCTCACCGCACAGGACAAGTCACTGAGGTCTGGGAGCGGCACAGAACCCCCCAAGTGCACACTGGGCAGCCCACAAAGTCACTCACTCTCCCACCACCCTCTACCCCCTTCCTGTTTCTGAGGCTCAACCTTCACTCGGGGTTCTGGAAACACCCTGCCAGGGGTCCCCCAGACCTTGCCCGGGAGGCACCCCCACTCTCTGCAGGTCAGACCTCCTCCCTGACCGTCCTCCCCAAGCGAGGACAGTCACCTGCTGCCCGGGCTCCTCCCCTCTCTCGCCCCTTATCCTCACGGACGCTCACCTGGGCCAACCCGGCGCGGGTCTGCAGCTCCCAGAGCCCCTCAGCTGGGGAGCCCCTCAGCTCGGGGCCCTGCTGCCTGCCCCCCTCAGGTGCCTGCTGAGCGGACGCTGCCCTGGTGCACTGCCCGCTGCCCGGGGACAGCCGTGAGGCCTCCCCCCAGCCGGCAGCACGCCACCCAGCAGCCAGCCTCCTGGAGCGGGTCCCCGCACCGAGTGAGGTAGCCCGTGCGCGCCCCACACCCGCCCCAGCTGTCCCCCCTTCACCTCCCAAAGAAACGACTCAGACCCTTCATCCCAGAGCCTGCTTCTGGGGCCCCACAGACCACGGCGCCCACTCGAGGGAAGGCCGGGGAGCCTGGCGCCCAGCGAGGGCCCTGCTCCTTTGTCCCCAGGAGAGCGGCTGTTGGCGCCTGGCGGGCCCCACCCCGAGCGGAGGCCAAGGCCAGCGCAGACCCCTGCTCTGAGGGCACCACGGCCCTGCTGAGGTGGAGAGGACCCGGGCGGGTGCCGAGGCCGGGCCGCCCCGGAGAGCCAGCTCTTCCCCCGCGGCGGGGACGGGCTCCCTCCTGGGGGCAGGGGGGCGTTCAGTAGGCCCTCCTGGGAGCCAAGGCGTCGGGAGGAGAGCACCCCAGCCTGGGGCAGGGCGGGGCCCAGGCTTCCTCCCTGCCACCCGCCCCTGCTGGGGACCGGCTCTGACCACGTGGGGGCTGCGGGGAGGGGAGAGCTGACGTGCAAGGCTGGAGACGCCTGTGGACCATGGCTGGACTTGAGCCGACTCCCTAACACCGTACCCCAAGAGGGCGTCTACTAGAGGAAGACACCCCACACCAAGAGCTGGTGAGGAGGGTGTCCCCACGGGGCTGGGAGAGGCAGGGCGGGCTGAACACCCCGGTGAGACCCCACAGATCCTCAGAGCACCAGCACACCCCCAACAGGGTCACAGCACGCCCCAACAGGGTCACCGAACACCCCCAACAGGGTCATGCACGCCCCCAGCAGGGCTAGCATGGGGTGCAGACCGTGGCACAGGGGCCGAGGGTGCAGGTGAGAGAACAGCAGCCGCCCCAGCCTGGAAGGCGAGGAGGCCCTGCTCCGCCGGGAACTCTGTCCGCCTGGGTCCCGGTGAGGCCTCCCGGGCTCTGAGGCCTCAGCCGGTTTTCAGATGTGCAGGATCAGCCTTAAGACGCAGCAGGAAGGATTCGCGACAGGCGTGAGCAGGACGGCTGGATCGGGCTCGAGGCCCTCGCGGGCTACCTGGCATCGGTCACCAGCTCCGTGGCCGCACTGAGTTGGGGCAGGTGCTGGAGAGGCTAGTGATGCTCTGGGCTGGACTGTGACAACCCCCCCCAGCCCCCAAATAGACGTGCAGAACCTCAGCCCCCAGCACCTCAGGACACCCCTTACTTGGAGGTGAGGTCAGGTCCTGAGGGAGAGGCAAGCCCCTCACCCAGCGGGACATGTCCTTGTCAGAAGGGGCATGAGACAGGCTCTGGGGTCCAGCCAGCGGTCAGAGAGAGTGAGGCCAGCCTGGCTCTCAAGACAAAGACACAATGGTCCCAGGCAACACGGCCATCCCCGGGCCCCACCTGGCCCCCACCTGGCCCCCACCTGCTCTCCTGGCCCCCGCCGGCCCCCACCTGCTCTCCTGGCTCCCCCCTGCCCCCACCTGCTCTCCTGGCCCCTGCCTGGCCCCCACCTGCCCTCCTGGCCCCGCCGGCCCCCACCTGCTCTCCTGGCCCCCCCTGCCCCACCTGCTCTCCTGGCCCCTGCCTGGCCCCACCTGCTCTCCTGGCCCCCGCCGGCCCCACCTGCTCTCCTGGCCCCCGCCGGCCCCCACCTGCTCTCCTGGCCCCCCCGGCCCCCACCTGCCCTCCTGGCCCCTGCCTGGCCCCCACCTGCTCTCCTGACCCCCGCCTGGCCCCCACCTGCTCTCCTGGCTCCCGCCTGGCCTCATGCACACCTCGGACATAGCTCCCCTGCACCCTCCATTGAAAGCCAAAGGGTGGTGCCCAGATCATGGACGGGGCGGGGCGAGACCTGGTCTCCCGGGCAGAGGGCGAGTGTGAAAACTCAGAGCCAGCAACACCACGACATTTAATATACTTTATTAAAAAGTTTCTTTGTATAAATTTCCTAAAAATTTTAAAATTAAAATTAAACCCCCCTGGATTAAAAAAAAACAAAAACACAGACACACACATCAGAGGAGCGCCGCAGCCTGCTCTCCCGCCACTCTCCGTTCGCGCTCGCAGCCTCCGGTCCCACCGCGGTGCACCAAGGCCGGGGGCTCGCCTCCTGCTAGCTACAGCGATTCTTAGGGGCTTGAGAAGGGGAAAGGCCGGCGACCAGCCCGGACAGGGCTCCCGCCGGCCGGCGCGGGAATGCTCAGGAGGGTGAGCCAAGCAGAAGCGCACGTGAGCGGTGAGGTCGGGGCTGCTCTCTAGACCTTCCATGCGCCTCGGCAGGCGCAGCGTGAGCCTCCAGAGGGCATTCGGATGGACAGGAGCGTCCGCGGAGCCACCAGCAGCGGGTCACCGTTACCCAGCACTCCCGGGCGGGCGTGACGGCCTGGGGACACGAGCGTTGGGTCCACAGACACATTTAGCACCAAGTTGATAGCCTCGCGGCAGAACCTTTCCTCCCAAGTCCGAGCGTCAATGAAAGCGTGAAATGCACAGGGCAGGAGACCCCCAGAGCTTCTGCGGAGACGGCTGCAAACGGCTGACTCCTTCTTCAAGAGGTATGTGGACGGCCCGCCCGCTTAGGTCCCGATGGCGGCCATGGCCCCGGCGTTGGCGCTGACGAGCACTGGGGGGCGGGGAGACAAGGCAGCCAGGTCACTGAGCGCCAGGGGCGCCGTCCTTCTGGGGACCACGGCCCCGCGGCCCCCGCTCTCATCCCCACTCACTCTCGGTTCTGTGGTGCTGGATCTGCTGCCTGGGCCCGGGGCTCCCCGCCCCAGCCGGGTCCCCTCCCTGCCAGCCCCATGACCCTCTGTGCGGAGTGAGCGACCCCCACTCCGGCACGGCCCCCAGGCGCCCACAACGCTGTCCTCACCCCGACAGAGCCGTCCACATCGGGACACGCTGGCCGGCCCCAGCGTTATTACTTAGAGGACGCAAGCGCCTGAAGGGACCGGCTGGGGGTCTTTTCTCCAGACCGCCTTGTAACCGCGTCAGCTTCTCTTCCTAACCATCGCGTCGGTCGCACGACTCTGTCCATAGGGGGTGGTGGCGTCGCCCAAGGACCAGAAGTAGCCGACGCCTGCGTCCTCTCTGCGAGGACCGGCCACAGCTGGCCTGCGGCTCCATAGTGACTCAGGAAATTAACTCAGTGGGTTTGCTCTGAACATCTTCCTCCCCTGAAGACACCACTTTGCTCCCCGTCCCAGCCACCCCACCTCAGGCATTTGGGGAAAGTGAATTCCTGGCGCGGCCTGACTCGCAAGGCCAAGCTTGAGCAGAGCCACTTACCAGGACCGCAGACCTTTTCACATTCGTCCTGCGTCTCGAATCTGTTCTCGTTCCCACTGCAGCCTCCGTACCAGAATCGGCCACAGCTTTTGCTTTTGGAGTCATAGAACCATTTCAGCACGAATTTCTTGCACGTTCCGACGTCCTTGGGCAGCTTGCAGATGTCTGTAACGACAGGGGACGGCGCGTCCGTCAGGCCGGCGGTCGCTCGGCCGGGGCTGGGCTGAGGTTGGTCTCAGCCTCGGTCTCCTCACCGCCAGACGGCACAGTCGCCCCTTTCTGTTTTGTGAGCCCGAAAGACACCGTGTGGATGACAGGACTTCTGCGGCTGCACCCCGAATCCTGTGCAGCCCCCCGGGGTCGCGTCAGGGGCAAGGAGCCGTGCCTCCGCCCTGCCGTTTTACTCCCCAATTCCTGCCACGTTCGCGCCCCTGGGAAGAAACCAGCGCTTAGAACGGTGGCATTTTCTACTCCCTGGCAAAGGGCGATAAAGTCAGGTCAGAACAGAGCTCAGAACAAGACGTACGATGCGCTGTGAGCCGCGTGGGTGGAAAAGAAAAGTTAAAGTGGAAAAGAAAACCTATGTGCACGTGCGTGTGCATGTGCGTGTGGCCTTGTGCCTCGGGGACCCGCCACGTCTGCCACGTGAGGTCAGAGTGCTTGACACTGGCATGGGGTTCGTGGCGGTAGGACGCAGGCCCAGCTGCCCCGGATGGACAGCCTCCCTCCCCCCATGGAGGAAGTTTACATTTCGGACACGCGGCCTGATGGTGTCCAGCTGTGCCTGGAGAGGCGTGTCTGTGGCTGCACAGTAAAGCTTCTGTTTACTTCCGGCAAACTCCAGATTGTGCCAGGAAAGAGGCGCCTCTGTGCCGGCCCTATCTGAAGGTCGGCGCAAACTCTCAGCCAGCGCCCCGCAGACCCTAGGTGTTGGCGGGGCAGTGGGCATGCTGGGTACCCAGTCACCGTGCAGGGGGCCCCTCCAGGTCTTGCCCCCAGCTCCACAGCTGCTCACAGCTGCAGAGGCGGTGGCATCCAAGGTCCGCTGGGTGCTGAGAAGCAAAGGGGGAAACCAAGGTCAGCAGTTTGAGCTGACCCTAAGGGCTGGACTCCAAAGGACAGGGTGTTGGGGGCCAGAGCCAGAGACCTGCTGAGGTTAGAAGGCTCTCAGTGACCGGGGAGGGCTGGCACCCAGCATGGGGCTGGCACCACAGCGCGACATCTGTCCTACCCTCCCAAGCAGGCAGCTGGAGACCCAGAGCTTGGAGGCCCCGGGCGGGAGGCCAGGACACAGCGCTGCCACCTGAGAGAGCGATGCTCTGCCTCGCACCAGCGCAGCAGGTGAGCCTGGCTCTCAATGAGTGCGATGGAGGAGCCACGCAGGGAGAGGTCACCCCACCTGCAGCACAACCCCGCTTTACTAGCTGCTTCCCCGATGGTGGAAGGTCCAGGCCAAGGGCCACCTCACCCCTCCCCTCTCTCAGCAGAGCAGCCCCGAAGGCCCATGTTTGTTCTCCTATGGCAGCTCCCGGAGCCCTGGCCATCTGTGTCCAGCTGCCCGTCCCCAGCGCCATGGGCCGGCACCAGGGAACAGCACAGTGCCCCCCAACCTGCAGCTCTCCAGGACCTCTGGCACCACCAAACTGTGCCTCTTGCATTTCACACCCTTTGTCCGGCCACCTGGACTCTGCTAAGGGGACAGATGCGGCCACTATGAGCGGACGCTGGAAAGAGCAGGAAAACAGCTCAGGATCATTATTCAGGGGCAGCACGTAGGCCCCCACAGTGAAGGCTGGAGACCAGCCAGTCCCTAACCCCAAGGCGTCTCAGAGCTCCAGGCTCCCATGCCCTGGTTTCTGAATTTGGGTTGACACAACCGTTCCAACATAAAACTGTCTGGCTGTCCAAAGAGGTGAGGTTGGACTCTCTGGGCTTCTCTGGAATCAGATCCCTGGCACAGCCTCACTCACGTTTTCCCGCCATGAGGGGGCCCCTGGGGACCCCGGAAGCCCAAGCCCCCCAGCCCAGAGGCGGGCCTGGCTGTCACTCTCTCCCGGTCCTGCTGTTGAGGACCGAGGGGAGCCCAGAGCGTGGGGCGAGGAGATGAGCGACGCTCTCATCCGGCTCACTTTCGCCTGGGAGAAGCAAGTAAAAAATTTCATCCTAAAAGAAGGACCTGGAGGCCTGACTCGGGCACCATCGTGAGACCCTCCAGGCCCGTGAGCCTCTGGAGGAAGCGGTGGGGCCAGGTCTGCTCGCAGAAGCCACTGCCACCGACCCAGGATGTCCCTGGACAGCGGGAGACGGCCCGGCTCAGCCCGACGGACGCGTGGGCACATGCGGCCTCCATGCAGGGCTGCGGGGTGTGGGGTGACGTGGTCAGCAGTGGCTGTGGGGCCAGGGCCTGGCCGTCAGACCTCCCTCAGCTGTGCGGGCTGAATTCTCCACGGCGAGTGGAGTATTTTATAATTAGAAATAAATTGCTATCTAACACAGACAAAGAACTCAATTGAAAAACCTTTTCCTTCTCTCCGGTTGAGGAGCTACAGCGTCCACACGGCTCAGGTCTCGGCTTGGACGCTTCAAACCAGCAAGTCGCCACGGCTCCCGCGTGTCTCTAGTAAAGCGGAAGGGGAAGGCGGCGGCGGCCGGGCTGCGGCTGTGAACGCGGGACGGGCGCCTCCTCCATTCATGGCCTCAAACACAAGGCGGAGGCTGGAGAGCCTCAGGCCCAGGGTGGGTGGCGCGGCCACGCGCTCCCGCCTCAGCAGCCGGCATGGTTTCCCGAGAGGAAGAAATCTCCAGGGTCCAGATCTGGGCTCAGAAGCTACCCCGAAAATGTTTTTCTTCTTGACTTTATTTTAAACGCGGTTGTGCTTATGTTTCGGACCCTTTGCTCTCGTAGATCTTGACCTTCATATTTTAAGCTTTTATGCCTCATAATAAAAAAAGATGCCAAGAGCCCTTGGCGCTCACCCCACCAAACATGGCAACTGGCCGAGACGCCTTCTCATGCGGCCTTGCGGGTAGGAGTCCCCTCTAGCCCGGGGAGGAAGGACGTGTCGCCGTTTAACTCTCGCAACCTGTGGGTTAAGTTAGTTCTTTCATTGCCTTGAACGCGTCCATTTTGCCCATCACTTCACCAAGGCTTCTACTCCCAGCGGACGCCGGCCAGCCCAGCGCTGTGTTTCATCAAGTCTAAGATACCGATTCCAGCCACTGGGCCGCCGGGGAGAGGGAGGGGACCTTCACTCCCTTGATATGAGAACACTTCCACTCTCACTGTATGCACCACCAGGACCAAGCGCAGCCACCAAGCCGTGCACTCTCACCGCTGTGAGCCACACGCCAGGCCCCAGGCAGGGCCCTGCGTCCTGCCCCTGAGCCGAGCGAGCTTAGTTCCTCCGGGCCCAGAGAGTGGGCCCCAAACGCCCGCCCGGCAGAGTGGCTGCTCCCCCAGACGGCTGCCATCTAGACTAAGGCAGGGGGAGGCGACACTGCGGGCTGTTTGGCTGTCTCCTGCAGGAAGAGCCTGCCTGCACGCAGGTGCGCAGCCAATGGGTTAAGACTCGGTTTGCAGCACTGCAAAAAGCAGGTTTCCTAAAAAAGATTGTTTATTGCTTAGAAACACCCAAGAATTTTAGCTTTACTTACAAGATGCATAGAAAATATCTGCCCAAGACTTGGAAAGCAGGAGGAGGGCAGAGGAGGGGGAAACTGAAACTAGCCACGGAGCCCAAATTCGTGACAGCGCAGCCCTCCCGACACCAGCAGGACGGAGACGGAAGCAGCGTGGCTTCTTAAGGCCGTGCGAACCACGGAAGATCTGTTCGTCCCAGCGAACGGCCACTGAGAAGCCTCAAACGTAGCGCAGAGAACTTGAGCGCGCTGGGGGATGCGGAGCGTGGAGCGTGCTCCGTGGGGATGTGCGCGTTCTGCTGTGGATCATCCAAGGGCAGACCGTGCTGCAGTCCAGGGTCCTGGGCAGCTGGTGATGGTGCCGCTGGCCCGGGGACCGGTCAGCCTTCGAGGGGGCCTAGGTCTTCCTGCCGGCCTCACCTCCACACCAACCCAGCTGCCCCTGGGCACAGAGACCCTCCCAGCCCACCCCACACTGCGCCTTCCTCAGGGTCCCAAGAAGGAGGGTCCTTGAAACCCACGCATCTCAAAGCGGGCACAGTTAATGCAGCCGGGAAAATGCCCGTCAGGGTCAACCCCTCCCCCATCCCTAGGGCACTCGGACCACTTCGTGGAGATTTTTCCCACAAACTCCTGGCCAGATCCAAACGCACGCCACCACATTTCCTAAATCCACTGCAGTGAACGTGACAAAATACAGCTCCTTAAAATATTACCAGCACCAAGGAAATCTCTCACCGTCAGCAAGGCACCAAGAGCTCTACACGTACGAACCCTGTTCCCAACGACTCGTTGCCACAGAAAATAAGAACCACCGGCCTGCACGGCCACATGCAAACTGAGGTTGAAAACTTGATTTTGCCTGAATTGTCTCAAAAACACTCTTTAGGGAAATAAGGCATGTCGCGGTCCCTGGCAGTTGCGTGCAAAACACCAGGCAGCTAGAGGAGTTATTATTACGTTTCTAGTTATTTGAATGACTACAGTTTCAAAGCTACCTAATAAAGGGTTAGTTGTCCTTTTTCTACCTGCAAAATGTGGGTATCATCAAAATCTCCACCCAGGGGAAATTTCTAAGATGTCTTAAAATGACGTAAATCCAGGGACAGGAGGGAAGTGCTTGGGAGGAAGGAGGAGCATGCGCTTTCATTTTCTAATTCTGTGTACCCACTTTGGGTTTTAAGCATTGTCAACATCCGATTAATTCAAAAAGCTCCCAAAACAGGGAACGCCCGCCGAGCGAGTGCATTGAGCCCTTCTCGGGCAGGGCGCCATCAGTGCGAGGACTGGAGACGCCCGACAAGGGGTCTTAAGAAAAGCAAGTGGGGCCTCCTTGGGGGTGCAAGGGGTTAAGACGAAACCTAGGAAGCTGTCCACAGCCTCTGCAGCACGAGTTCGATCCCCGGCCAGGTTGCTACCCACACGGCGCAGCAGCCCTCTCCCGTCCCCCCGCTGCTCCCCTCAGCAGTGGATTTCAGGAGATTGGCCTGTTCTGCTCCCCACTCTGTCTCTGGGGAGTCTTCTCACTCCCGCACCTCTGGCCTGTACCCCAGTTCTTGTATGCATAAATAAATAAATCTTTAAAAAAAAAAAGGAAAGAAAGAAGAAAGAAAAGCAGGTGATTTCTGTCCTGTGCTGACCTGAAAGCCTTGGTGGGACGCGGACGTGCAGCCGTGACGCGGTGAAAGGACACTCGGGCTTGAGGGTTAAGAAGGAATCAGAATGAAGGCGGAAGGTTCTCTCCGTCTGTCTAAGCACTGGCAGGCTTGAGAGACACAAGCCTGATTTCAAAACCCACAGGGAGAGCAGCGCGCGGGGCTGGGGACCTGGCCCGACATCCCTGCTGCGTCTGGGGCTGCGCTCGTCTGAGCCAGCGAGCAGCCTGCCGGGGTCCTGCTTCAAGACTGGGCGGTGATGCGAGCGACGCCATTGGATACTCTTGTCCTGGACCAGACACTAAAGAACCAAAACATCCCCACATCTCGCAGGTAATTGGCCCCCAGCCATCTTGTGTCAACGAAGCACCGAATTCCCTAGAGATGGTCCCTTCCCCACACTCCATGCGGGCGGAGTCAGCGTGGCCGGAAGCAGGGGCGCGGCTCTGAGCATCTTTGACCCCACCTGAACTTTGTCTTTGAGAAAAGCCTCAGTGGGCCCAGGGGGAGGTCACCCCAGGACGCGCTGGGGAGGGCTCCGGACTGCAGGGCCACCGGCCAGGGGCAGCCTCGCCCGGGGGACAGTCTTGCCCAGGTCCCTGGCTCAGACCACAGGGAGCTGTGGAAGTCTAAAGGGTTTCTGCCCATCTTTCCATGGGGAAGACTGGAGGACTCTGAGACACACGGGGCTCCCTACAACACAGACCAACTCCTAACTTGTTTCCAAAAGCAAAGCATTGTGAGTATTTTCCAGCTCTCTGTTTCATTCATGCGCGCTTATTACACTTCTTTGTTGTGATCGTTTCGCAATTCCTGCATCGACGTGGTATGTTGGTTCTAGTAACTCCTAATGCCAATTGTCATTCATGGTCCTTGGAAGGAATGATAGATGATTGATTGGTAGATGGATAGAGAGATGGGTGGGTGGGTGGACAGATGGATGACAGGCAGGTGGACAGACACAGAGGCAGACAGAGACAGGGACAGAGGCACATTATCCGTAGACGCAGGGAGTGTCCATCAATGAAGGAAAGCATTCGAGCAGATCCCTTCCAGAAATAACTATGACACCAAGATGGATGGCATGTGGAGTCAGAAGATACCCAGAACCTTCTAAATGCATGAAACACAGAGGAGATAAGGTCCAGACTCTACTGCACGGACACAGTGGACATCACTGTTAACACTTAGAGAGGAGAGAGTAAGACGAGGACTGCAGACGCAGCAGCCCACAAAGCCGCGGCGGTGGCATCCGACACCCGCACGTCACAAAACACTGGCCCACCGAGAAGCCTCTTGGCGCTCGCCATGCCGTTCTCCTGCTCGGTGACCGAGACAGGCGTGCTCACGAGACAACGCTCCTCTCCCTGGCGTGGCCAGACAGCAATCACCACCGTCTGGAGACTTTCTGCTCGGGGCGGACAGAGCGCTGCCCGTGGCACCCTGACTGTGGTCACCAGCGCCAGCGCCTTAGGCCCAACACTCTCACAGCAGAGCAACCGGCTAACCCGGGCGCGGGCCTCTCACAGACGCGCCGACCTGTGCTGGTCAGAGACCGGCTTGCAAGAGCCCCTGCCGGGCAGCTGGCAGCTCCAGTCTCCGGCTCACAGGCACAGGCGCACGCAGGAGGCGTGACACGTTGAGCCAGGGCCATCCTCACGGACCCCTGACTAGGGGGCAGCCCTGCACGGCAGGATCTCAGAACCACGTCGGTGTGGGTCGAGGGGGTGGCTAGCGGTGCTCGGCTTCCTGGTTATGACCCCACGCAGCTCCCGTCCGATTTTCTCTATGTGCCAGGTCGTGGGAGGTGAGTGACCACGCAGGACACAGACGAGGCCACCACTGGCGCAGGGAGCCGAGGCAGGACTCCCCAGGGACGTTGGACCGGGCCCAACTTCTGACCCAGAAGTAGAACGTCCATGGTTTAACGGCTTGCGAGAACGCGTCCTTCCGCGCCAGGGACCCCACGCCTCGTGGCTTACCTGTTTCTGCGCCAGCCATGGGGTCTGTGTTCACCATCAGGTCGATGGTTGCACTGGAAGCCGACCTGGCTGCCGGTGGGGGTGGCGGCTGCGTTTTCTCTGTAAATGAAAACAAACGCAAATGGCAGGTAGGTCAGACCCAAAGGACTCGGGAATCCCGAGGGCGGGGCAGACGTGGCTTTCTGGCCATGAGGACTGGTGTGAGGTGCAGCCCCGAGAGCCCGAGCAGCCCCTGCGCTGAGCCCGCCCAGGGGAGTCACCGCCCGCGGAAACGAGCAAGCCCCCCGCTCTGCACAATCACACAAGCTCTTCGCTGCTGTCCGGGAAAGCAGGCCCCTGGGGGGTGGGGACGGTCCCCGACGCCCGTGCTCACGGCCCAGGCCCTGGTAACTGGGGGCTCCCTTTGCTCAAGCACAGCTCCTTGAGCGCAACAACACCCCCCAGGGGGAGAGGAGGGGCCTGCACCCGCGGAGCAGTGGGATCAAGGAGGAAGGGAGAATCCAGAAGAACTTGGGGGGTCATGAGCAGCCAAGAAAGACTGGAAATGCACACAAGGGAAGGCCTCAGGGAAGTGGGGGGCCAGGAGCCAGAGTGGCAGAGGGCAGAGCCCAGCCCGGAGGGCCGCGGAGGAAGGACGATGCCCTCTCTTCACGGCCTGGCTGTAGTGGGGGCCGGGGGGCGAGACTTCAGGGGCTCCCGGCTCCTCCCTAGGGAGCCCAGAGGTGCACTCACTGCACTGATGAGGGGAGCCCCTCCTGGATCACGGCCCTGTGGCTGCCTAGACCCCAGGCCCCAGCGGAAGGCAGGGGCCCCACTAGCGATCTGTGCGCCAGCCCGGGCCCCAGAGGCAGGAGGCGGGGAACGGTCCCCACCGGGACCCAGTTTCCACGACCCCATGAAGATGGCCCGGCCCGAGTCCCCAGGATTGTGCTTGAGCGGCGTCGCTGGTCCAGACCAGATGGCGCGAGCGGAACGGCCAACGCCCCACAGCATCCAGGTGGGGGGTGGGCGTGGGGGCGGGGACGTGGGGGTTTGGGGGCCCCCTCTTCATACTCACTTGTGCTGAAGGTGCCGTGGTAGGTGGCTCGGACCTGGGCCCTCAGGTAGCAGACCACGGTCACGTGGTAGGTGTGGCCGGCCCTCAGGCCCCCGATGGTGCGCTCCGCCACGGAGAGGTTCTGCCTCAGGACCAGGGACTGGTCGTGGGCTGAGGTGATGATCAGGTGGTAAAAGTACGGGCTGGGGGGCTCTGGCCGCTCCCAGCGCAGCTTGGCGCTGTTTTCCGTGACCTCAGACACGTGGACCTCCCGGGGCAGTTTAGCTGGGGGAGCAAAGCCCAGAGTGAGACCAACAGGAAGGCCCGGGGCCACCGACAGGGCACAGGGGGGCGGCCGCCCCAGCGCGGAAGGCTGTGGAGCTGCAGGGAGGACGGGACCCGCGAGGGACAGCACCCCAAGAGCTCTCGCGGACTCTGCGGGAAGGGAGAGGCCAGGAGCTGGGGTCTGCACGGCAGGTGGGTCAAGCAGCACAAGACTCGTAACAGCAACCGCTGAGGCGGCTGCCCAGGTGATGGGGTGGGGGGAGGGACAAAGGGCCAAGGGGCTATAAGGAGGGGGTTAATCAATTAGCTAATTAATCTAAAACCCCAACATGTTGGGACCCACGGCCGCCCGCCCCAGGCAGACGCGCCACACCAGCAGCCCAAGACTCAGGAAGCAGCTCGGGCCCCTGAGAAACGTGCCCCCAACATGAGCCGTGAAATCCCGCTAAAGGCCTCTCGACGCGTAGGCCCGGCACCTAGGAGCATCCCCTCACCCAACATCCCACTACGGAGCCCCTCCAAGCAGCCAGGGTCCAGGATGCCGGCCCGATGTGGGGTTCAATACAGAATGAACCCACAATTTAAAACATGGACGTCGTCAAATCTGAGGGCATCTCCCCTCTCAGAGAAGGAAGGCGATTCCATCTCACAGGCCTCACCGGCCGCCCTCCCGCGGGCAGCTCGTGACATCCCAAAGTGTCATTTGGCGTCTTCGAGTACAGAGAGGGGCATACTGGGCCGCTGCACCCCCACACCCCAGAATCTGCTCTGCCTGCAGAGCCTCTCGTGCAGGGGAGGAGTTTGCAGCCACCAGGGGCCTGTCAGACGCTCTGAGTCAGTCTGAGGCCATGGGACTGGCCCCGGCCAAGCTCTCCTGCGCCTGTTTCCCACCTGGAAGCCAGGGGCAGCTTTTCTCTGTCTCCCTGCACCCCTACTTCTGCATAGACCTCTCCCCTCTGCCTAGGAAGCCTGGTTCTCCAGGAGAGGCAGGGCGCGCCAAGCCCCATGTCCCAGAGAATGAGGCTCCTGCCCTGCCCCACGGCAGGTCTTGAGGTGCAATGGGAAGCAGGAAGAGGAGATGCATCTCACCCACTCTCTACAGGGGCTCACTAGCCTCATGGGGATTGGAAAAGATTGTTTGCAAACAGAAAAACCGCAAAGCCCTTACCCACGGGCTTGGCTGTGGCCGGCCTGGTGGAGGCCTGTTTGGCTGCCTGGAGTCTGGGGCCCTCTGGCTTTGTGGCCATAGGCTTGGCAGCCATCGAGTTTCTGGCTGTGGGCCTCCCTCCTGCTGGCCTCCCTGCCGCTGGCCTCGCAGCCACGGGGGGTCTGGCCGTGGCTGTCCGTGTGGCCTCCGGCTTGGTGGCCTCCGGCTTGGCAGCCACAGGCTTGGCAGCCACAGGCTTGGCGGCCACGGGCCTGGCAGGAGCCGGTTTCTCAGCAGCTGGCTTGGCCACGGGCAGATTCGCCGCTGGGACCGGCTTCAAGGTGGAGGCCACGGCACCCATGCTGGCCGTCAGCTTCATGGTCATCACCGGTTTGGATGTAGGACTTGAAGTAACGTTATTTGGGACATTCCTGTTGAGACAAATTAAATGCTGTCTTGTCTCCCCTTATATGTCTTTCTGCCTGCTCCCTGAAATCAACGACGACAGAGCCCCGGGAGCGGGTCTTGAGGAAGTTGCCCTGTCAGCAAAATGCAAACAGTTGTTCCCACAGACCACGGGCGGCGCTGCGTGTCCTAAAGCCGCCCTCGGAGGAGGCGCGCAGAAACCACGCTGCTGCGTAGAACGCCATGGGTCGCCAGCGGCTGTGCTGTCCTGTAAACCCACCTGACGTCTTATCTCCGACTTATAAAATAAAGGCAGGGCAAGAATAAAGAGACAAAAGTGAAATAGTTAAAAGAAATAGTAAAAGTTAAAACTATTAAAAGAGTTTATAGTTTCACGCCCAGGCTTATAGTGTGTCTGTGTTAACATGGGTGACTGTTGTGTTACGATTTCTTGATCTCTAAAGAGATCAATTTACAGAGCCCTAAAGAGAACGGGGTGTAATCACAGACTCCCTTTGCTGGCTCTGGTCCTAAGCTGGACTGCTCCACTTTCTGGATATTTCCTCCCACAGGTCATATGCAGCGTATTTTCATGATGATTTTATAAACTCCAAACTCTAGGGTCCTTTGTTCATTCTGTTTTTCTAAAGAAAAGGGTGAGCCATGGGAATGTTCCGGAGAATGAATAAAGATGAATCAAGGCCCGACAGGAGCACTGTGGCCCGAGATCAAGCAGGACAGGCGTCCTGGCTCCAACCCCGGCCCAATTGCCCCAGCGGTAATGCCCAAGCCCGGCTCTAGACACAGGAGCTGGGGAGGCAAGGGCTCTGTGGAGGAAGGGCGGCTCCCTCCCCACCCTGGAGTCCTCGGGAGTAAGCCAGACGCGCATTTGTCACGGATCATTCAGATCCACATCTCCTGGGGCACAACAGTCCGAGCCCCTACGCCCCCAAAGCAACACGTGCTGCGGCCTTCCAGGGCCATACACTGTCTGACTCAGTTCCTGGGCAAGTGCCAGGGCCTGGCCCTCGCTCGCAGGCCACACTGTCCTCTCTGCTCCCACAGTGGACACTCAAGATGGAGCTGGACCTGGGGTCACTGAGCAGCCTCCCCCATCTGCCTTCCCTGGAAGCACACGCTGCCTCACACACCGTCACCTGTATCGTGACAGCACACACCATTTTGAGAAGATCCTGGGCCCCTTCTGGCTTATGTATCCGATCCTTCTACATGAGATCGCCTCGCACAGATGTGGCTATTTGGATATATGGCCCCACCCCCCCACCTGCTCTCCATCCGGGACCTTGAGAGCGTGGTGTGGCAGGTCCTCCCACCAAGCCTGGCTCCCCACCCTTGGCTCTAGCTACACTGGCCTCTGCACAAGCTCTGGCCATTGAATGTGAGCCCGTGAGGGTTCTGGCCGTGGCTGCAGAGGCCTCGCCCTGTCCACGCTCCCTCCTGCACCCTGCCCAGTCACCCAGTAGAAGAACCCAGCTCACCTCCTGGGAAGTGAGGATAACCAGGAGCAGAGACCACCCTAACCGTCAGTCGTGGCTGCTCAAAGCCTGTGATGAGCCCAATGGAGGCCAGAAGACCTGCCCAGCGGAGCCCAGGCACAAGCTGCCAACCCACAGACTTGCCAGGGAGAGTGTTGTAAGCCACTGTGTTGGGGCAGCTTGTTACTCAGCCAAGCTGACGGATGGCACAGGCCCCACCCAGAGAATCCCCCACCCGGCCTCTCAGAAGTCACCACTTCTGGGTTTCCTCGGCCCCCATAAAGCCAGGTGTTGCTGGCAGGGGTCTGTGTCCCCCAGCAGGTAACTTTGGAAACAATAATCACAGCCACTTACACGTGTTTGTGACCAAACTTCACAACATTCTTGGCCGGCTGGTCCCCTTGGAACCAGTCACACTGCTTCTTGACATCTGGGGACAAGTAAAAAGCATTCTCACCTGGGAAGAAGTGGAAAAAGATGGCCTCAGTGCCAGCGAATCAATGCAAGGGAAAATTCATCTGCTAACAAGTTAAATGGCCCACACGGCAGACCATCCATAAATATCTGTTGAACCAATGAATTCTTTTAGATAAGCTCTATCCGTGATTTTAAGCATTTCGCATAATGGCACCTGACCCATCAAACACCTTAAGCCAGTATCTGCCACTTGGCAATAGCTGGTGATTAGGTGAGAGGGAATGTAGGCTCAATGTGAGGGGAAAGGCAGGAAAGAAAAATCAAGGCAGAGTTTCTGACAAGTCCCAAACTTGGACATTAAATTATAATCGACCTGCTTTCAACGTTTCTCAACGCTCTGCTTAACGACACCTTAACATGCAGAAGCAACACCGCCTGGGTGGGTGTGCTGGTTTTCCTTTCACTTCACATTTTCCTCTAAAATTTTTGGGGGACAGGTCTTCACATGTCAGAACACTTTTCCCACTGGAATGGGCATCCTCTCCCCTTGCGGGACGAGCATTCCTGGACGCGTTTCTTCCGACTTTTAAAGCTCCCGTGTTAGAGAGCCCTCGGGCCCGACTCTGGGGAAGACTCAGGACTGATACCTCCTCCTCGGAACCATGCTGTGCAGGACCAGCAGCCCATCAGTGAATGGCCAGCAGGTCCTGTACAGAGCACAGTGTCCAGACCATTGATGGAGAGTGGGGAGCACCCGTGTGAGGGGGACAGCTGGAGACGGGGCTAAGGATTTGTGTGGATTCGCTGCTAAAGGTAGAGAGCTTAGTGGGAAGGAGACATGGCAAAGGCCCAAGGTCATCAAGGGTAAGGTGGGTAGCTAACCCGGATCAATGCAACTCCTTTTAGAAGCTTCCCTGATGCCCACCAGGATGTACTTCTTATGTCAGGGCAGTGTACTAAGTCCTGCATAAAAAGGTGCCCTGACCCACTCACCCCCCTGGACTGTGTACCATCAGGGACACGTGTCTCTGGCTGGGAGATGCCCAGTCAAAGGGGTGCCAAGGACAGGATCTGAGTGCGTGCACTGCCAAGCAGGGCCCTAGAAGTGTGTCTGGGACATGGTGTGTGTATATGGGTGTGCACGTGCGCACGCACACACACACACCCCTCAGCAGATACATAGACAGAAAATAGATGGATAGAAAGAATAGATACATGACAGAAAAACAGATACATAGATACATGACAGATAACATGATTGTTGAGAGGTAGATGATACAGACAGATAATAGATAGATAGATAGATAGATAGATAGATAGATAGATAGATAGATAGATGATTGATAGATGACAGATAGGTGATGGACTGATGAAAGTTGATAGAAAGATGGGTAGACGGATGGGCAGACGTTTGCTGAGTGCATGGAGGCCAGCATCAGCCACCCGCTGTCTGTCCCACAGCCCCGGCCCCACCAGCCTGGGAGCCGGCCCGCCCCCTGCGGGGACTCACTGCTGACGAAGGAGGGCAGCAGCCTCCCAAACCGCATGAGCGGCTCCTCGTTGAGCTCGGTTGACGTCTGCACCAGCTTGAAGAAAACATCGCTGGGCTCGCTGGCGAAGGTGTACAGGTCCTTGACGTTCACCTTCCTGCCAATGCCCAGGATCACAACCAAGTAGCCTTTGCATTTGGCCCGCAGGAGGGCCTGCTGGGCCTCTTCCAGCTGCTGCTCCGGCACCGCCCCGGTCAGCATCAGCACCAGGATCTTCAGGTCGCGCGGGTGCGGGGCCTGCTCGAAGACCGTCTCCACCGTGTAGTCGACGGCCCTGCCCAGGGCCATGGTGCCCTGCAGCTGCGCCACCCGCCTGCTGAGGAAGTTCACCAGCTTCTCCTTGGAGCCGTAATCAGTCAGGGCGCAGTCCACCTTCACAGGCGGCACATCGGGGTCCCCCAGGGACTCGTAGGGGGCCTGCTGCACCACCGCCACCCGGGCGAGGTGCTGGGAGGTCTTGGGGTCTGGGCTGAGGTCCAGTTGCCTGACCAGGTACCCGATGTACTTCTTCATCTCGTTGAACTGGAACAGGGAGGTGGACTCGGAGCTGTCCAAGATGAAAGCCACGTCGACGTCCGAGCTGCTGCCCGCCGCTCGCCTGTCCCTGAAGGCCGGTCTCCAGCTGCCAAAGCCGCAGGATGGGTCGATGTTGCAGATGTCTAGGGGAAGCACAGCGGCCGCGTTGTGACCCTGGGGGACCACAGGGACACCACGAGGACACCACGGGGACATCGTGGCATCCCACGGGCCTGGGGACTGCGCTGTCTCCGAGGGCAGAGACCTAGCTCGATGGTGCCGGCGGGCCGTGGCCAGCCTTAGCGCTGCAGCCGAGCACAAGCCGCAGCAAATGCGCAAGCCAGGGGGCAGGGGAAAGCGCCCGGCTCCTCTGCCACGCTTGAGGAAGGGCGTTCTCGGAGTCGCAAATCGGCACATTAAACTCTGAACTCCAGGGTCAGAGGTTCAGCAGCCCCGCGTCCCCTTCTATGTGCAACATGAATCTGCCCGTCAGCGCGGAGCTCCTTCTGGGGAGCCCGCGGGAAATACAGACGCTGCTTGCAGGGGTAGTTACAGAGCCCTCAGGAGCTCCATTTAGCGTAAATCAAGCCGCAATGAGACCCCCCCACACCCCTGAAAATGGCCACCACCAAAACGACGAGAAATAGCAAGTGCTGGCGAGGGCCGAGGGAAGGAGCCCTGTGCACAGGAGCAGACGGGCCCAGCCCCGGTGGAAAACAGCGTGGAGGGCTCTCGAAGATCAAAAGTAGGTCTGCGATGAGACTGGCAAGGCCACTCCCGGGTAGCCCCGGAAGGACACACAACGCGGGCGTGAAGCCACCCCCAATCCTGCGCCCACGGCGGCCGCGCGGCGGAACCGCCCACGTGTCCAGGCACGATGAGCAACGACGAAGTGCTGCAGGCGCCCAGCGGAACTACCCGGCTATAGAAAGGTGAGCTCTTGCTGTTTGCCACAGGGTGGATGACCTGGGAGAGGGTGTGCTCAGTGACAAGGTCAGAAGGAGGAAGACAAATAGGGGCCGATTCCACTCACGGGCGGAGCTAAACAAGCAACGCTGCGAGCGGACAGGACCGGAGCATCGCACACCCTGGAAGTCCCACTGCGAATTGAGGCTCCCGGGGCCGGGGCCCGGGGAGGGGCCAGGGACGGTGGCGGTGACCGGGGCGCGTGGCGGGCGTGACACCTGAGGAGGCGTGAGCCCAAGCCCCGGAGCACCCGGCGGGGCAAACCAGCGCTCCCTCAACTAAGCAATTGAATTGGATAAAATCTTTGTGGATGCCAATGACTGCCGCGCACCCAGCGTCCCTCGCTGGACAGTGCGCTGGACCCAGGCCAGACAGGCTCTCCTGCCAGAGGAACCCCTTACCCAGGCAGACGTGGCAGGTCAGGACGGTCTTCAAGAAGCCCTCGAGGTCCCTCCTGGGGGGCAGGACGAGCGCGTGCCCCACCGCCGTGTTGTTGATCTGCGGGAATGGAAGGAAGCGCTTGGTGGGGGCGCGATGAGGGGCTGTGGCCGAGAGCCGAGGGGCAACTGGGTCTCAGCACAGCAGGGTCCGCTCATTTGTCGGGGGGACGGGGGCACTGACTGTCACAGAAGAACATGCTCCCAGAGGGGAGCTGGGGTCCAACCCTCCCCTGCACCCGAGGCTGAAGGACCGAACTCCTGGACTCGGTATCCGCAGCTGTAAACTGGGGTAACCGTGAATTCCCAGTGGTGCTGGATTAGATAATGGGGGTAAAGCCGACGTGAAGGGGCTGGACTATTACCACTATTTTCAGCCATAATAGCAACCAGCAAAGGGGATCCCCACCCACCCCCACTGTCCAGGTCCAGCCAGCAAGGGCTGTGGTGACACTGCCTGGACTTGGCTCAGGGAGATGGGCCGGCCCCACCCGCTAGGGTGCCCCCCGAGCACTCACGCGGTGGGGAGCGGCATCTATCTAGCAAATGACAGCTCGGTTTCCACTACGGAAGGGAGGCGCCCAAGCACAGGGCCTGGTCCCGGGGCCCAGAAGGGGAACCGGCCCCTAGAGGTTCCCTCAGGGGACAAGCGGAGGCCAGCAGCCAGGCAGCCTCCCCAGGCCCAAGCATGAGCTCAGCAGCTGCCAACAGCGCGGCAGAATGGGCCCCGGGGCAGTGGCAGTGGCAGTGACCCGTGGCTGGCAGAGGCAGTGGGGAGGCCACTGAACACTTATCTGGGGGGAAAGCCGGCAGAGACCAGCTCAGCCCTCCTGCTCCATGACCCGCCTTTCAGGGCATCAAGTGAGCAGACGCAGGCCAGGAAGGGGAGCCGGGCCCTGACCAGCCCTGTGCCTCCCTCCATGTCTGTCGCCCGCTGGAGCAAGACCCAGAACGGACAGCCGCCTCTGCTTGTCATGACAGTCACTGTGTGTCTTCACAGCCATCAGTCAAGTCGTCTAAGCAGATACAAGGGCACCTCGGCCACTCCGCCTGCCGCCTGCTGCCCGCTGCCCTGACTCTTGAACAGGGGCCTCAGGGGGCTGGACCCCGATGCTTGGGGGCTGCACAGGAGACTATAGACCTCCAGAGACAGCCCAGGAGCCCTCTCCATGTGAGGAGGGGCCGTGGGAGCAAGGCAGGGTGTGGAGTGTCCTTTGGGCCACGTCTAGGAAGTGAGGGACTGGAGCCCCCGCAAGCCCCAGGCAGGCCGGCAATGCCAGGGCCAGCACTGACCTGCAGCGCATTGGCCAGCTGGCGGTCCTCCTGGGTGGTAAGGAACAGGGGCGTGATGCCGGCGTCTGAGAGTTTCAGGATGGCCTCCCTGAGCTGTGGGGACGCCCTGCTGGGCTTGTTGCTGAAGAAAACGGCCACTTTCCTCATGAGGAAGCCGCTCCGCACACGCTTGAACGTGTTCCTGGCCACAAACGACATGGCGTTCTCCAGGCTCTGCTGCTTGGATGTGAGGGCAACCTGCAGGTTCCGGATCCTGTCCAGGAGCACGGACTTCCTCTTGGAGTCCGCGAACCGGATCTCCGTGGTCACCTCGTTGTTGTAGGTGACCACAGCCACCCGGGCGCCCCGCGGGCAGTTGCTCTCTGCGATGGTCAGGTCGCCCACGAGCTTCAGCAGCACCTCCCTCATCCGGCTGAAGATGTCCTGGGTGACCCCCTCGGAGGTGTCCAGGGCGAAGGCCAGCTCCGTCGGGAAGACGGGGCATTCCAGGGGCCCTGGTAGGGGGGAGTCCAAGACATGCTTGACTTACCGCGAAGGGTCTCTCCCTTTCTTCTGCAGGAAGTCACAGGCCCGACGTGGACTTACCGTAGCAGCAAGCTACAGAGAGAGTGGGGAGAGTGAGGCCACCGCGGGGCGATTTCAGAAGCAAACACACAAGTCAAAAACACGAGAGGAAGGGGGTACTTACGACACTTGTCTTTAATGCTCTGGATCAGGGCACATTGCTTTAAAGGAAAGGGAAGAGGCTGTCAGAGGAGCAGGCAACAGGCTCCCAGAGCAAAGACCCGGCCGGCCGCGGTCAACTTACATCCACCGAGTCGCCTCTGTTGCCTTGGTGACCCTGTGGAGGCAAAGGAGGAGGCTGAGACGGGCAGCCAGGGACGGGACGGCTCGGCCACAGAAACGCAGAGCAGGGCCTCAGCCCCACACCCGCGACTCCGATGCTGGAGGGGCCCAGTGGGAGGGCCGGCGCAGGGCTGCCCCACGAGGCCCTCTGTCTTCTGAAATGGCTTCGCGCCCCACAGCCCTGGAAGCTCACCACAAGCCACCTGCTGGCTTGTCGTCACTCTTCACCCTAACTCTAAACAGCTTCTCTCATGCGAGCTCTGCCTTCAAGCGCGAGCTCAATGACCCTGCTGGCAGGTGGGGCGGAGCGGAGCCGCTGGCCCCTATAGGTCTGAACCCCCCACTGGACTCTACTCCTAGGCAGCCCCAGGTACACCCAGGTTGTCCTCAGCATCTCATCCCAGCACGTGGCCCACCTGAGGGTCAGGCATGCGGGGGTCTCCCCAGGGCTGCCCCTGCCTGCTCTGCAATGCCCACTAACTCTCCCACTAAGGCAGAGGCGCCCTCCTGACTCGGCCGTCCTGTCCCGCTCACGGGGCTCGAGCACCTCATCCTTAACCTTCCTTCCAGCAGGGACTTCCCATCTCCTGGCTTATCTTTTCAACTCTTCTTTGAACTCAGCAATTTCACTGTATGGAGAGGACCTGGGAGAGCCCGGGTAAGGGAGAGGGTAGTGAGGGGACGGCAGGGCTGGGCAAGGCTGCCTGGGCCTCCAGGTGGCAGGGCAGAATGGGCACCCCTGGATTTTATAGGGCCCACACCCAGTCCGGCGTAATCATGTCAGAAGCTGCCATCAAGAACTATTTAGATTTGTCCCCTCTCGTTTGCCCTCTACATAAACCTCAAACATTCCTACCAGGAGGTCGTGAAGGCAAAGGGCCACCTGTCCGAGACGCCAGCGCCCTCTGGAAACTCCCCTAAAAGGCCCCGTTACTCTGCCCCTTGAAGCTCCTGTCTCTACTGTGACATCAGACCAGGAGGGTTGACAAGAGCGATGCAGACGCAGGCCGCCTTCTCCGTCAGCAAAGGAGAGAGCGGGAACTCTTGGGGCTGTGGGGTGGGGCCAAGCACCGGAAGCTGGACGGGGTCCGGTGGGTACTTACGGAGGGTCCTGGGTAGCCAGGGTCTCCCTTCTGGCCCATTGTCCCGGGAGGTCCTGAATTTCCCTGGAGGGGGCAGAACAAGCACTGCTCAACGGTCGCAAGAGGAGGAAAATCCTCAGCTCCTCAGCTGAAGGTGGGGTCAGGGCGAGGAAGCCCCACGGCCCCGTCCCCCGAGAATACGCTCACTTTCAGGGGGTTGATGTCTCCAAACACAGTGTAGGGACACGGCACCTTCACAGCCCTGACGTGACCCACCCCTGTGCCCCCGGGGGCTAAGGTCAGATGAGCCCACCCCAGGGCCCGCACAAGACCCCGGGACGTGCAAGAAACCAGCAGCTGCAACCAGTGAGCGTGCACCCAGGGCAGGTGAAGCCAGCGTCCAGTCTCTGCTGTGAGGCCGTCTGTCCGCACAGCCACGGCCATCTAGCCTCACGGTGACAGGGTTAGTGTGATGGTTTAACTACATTTTCAGCCGAGAACTGTTAGAAACTGACCCAGTACAATTTGCTAATTTGAGACTCTGACTCTGAAGGGGGGCGGCCACCCCCAGAGGGAATGACCAGAACCAGGAGCCTGGTGTGGCAGGCAGGGGGGCACACCCTCTCAGCCTGCTTAAGCACCTGGAGCCCTGCGTCACATGCACGGCCGAAGGAGGAGGCGCAGACACCCCACAGCCACAGCGGGTGTCCCGCGTGCTAGCCTGACATGCTCGAGGACGCCATGGCCTCGCCCACCCGCTGCACCTGCTGTGCTCACCGGCGCGAGGCACGGGCACTTACCCTTCGTCCTCTGGATCCTTTGGGTCCCGGGGTTCCGTCTGTCCCTGGCTCACCCTGGGTTCCCTGGCAAGAGCCCAGAAGCAGCAATTAAGCTCTAGAGGAGGAAGCCACGCGGGCTGGGGCCAGGGGCTGCCCTTGGCCGGCTCGTGCGAGGGCTGGCTTCCCACGTGCTCCGCAGGCCGGCCCAGCCCCTGTTTGTGGAGCAAACATGAGGGCGTCGTGCTGACAGTGTCACAGCATCTTAAGGCCGATGAGTCTCTTACTGCCGCCATTCCCTTCCAGCCTTGCGAGCTACGATGGGCGCACACCGTCGCCCCTGGATGGAAGAGGGGGGCCTGGAGAGGGCAGGGCCTCTCCCGGGCTCATGCATAGCAGCTGACCCGAGACTGGGAACACTGACTTTGGGCCCGCGGACGTATCACCCCCTCTAGCCCACCGGTAACGTGCTCACCTTGGGGCCAGGGTGTCCTGGGAACCCCCTTTCACCCTGCAAAGGGAAAGGAAATGATGCACCATGTGATCCTGGTTTAAAATCACCCACAATAAGTTACTGCTGAGCAGAAAACACACACCCAGAGGCATCAAGAGAAACAAGCTATTATGCGATTTGAGATCACTCTTTAAGACTACAAGTCCAGGGGCCTCCCTGGTGGCGCAAGGGATTAAGAATAGGACGCTGCAGCACTACGACGCTGTCCACAGCCTCTGCAGTACGAGTTCGATCCCTGGCCGGGGAGTGACCCACGGGGCGCAGCAGACCTCTCCTGTCTCCCCGCTGCTCCCCTCGGCAGTGGATTTCAGTGGATCCACCTGTTCTGCTCCCCACTGAACCTGGTGAATCCTCTCCCCCCTGCACCTCTGGCCTGCACCCCAGTTTTTGTAGCATACATAAATGCATCTTAAAAAAAGAAAAAGAATACAAGGCCAAGCTCAAGAACCCCCGGCAGAGCCAGACGTACCTTTCTGCCCTTGCGTCCTTCACCGCCCACGCCGTCTCGCCCGTCGTCTCCCTTAGATCAGAAACACTGCATCAGGCCGGGCACTCACCGGGCACCGACCTGCTCCGCTCAAAGCCCCGAGCTGCGGGCCCCAAGCCCCCGGAGTGTCCCTGCAGGCTCCCCTCAGAGCCAGACACCATCCACTGTCTCAGGACGCACGTGACGCTGCACGGCACGCATCTCTCAAGGCCCCGGGACCTGCTCCCTGGCCACGCATGGGCACATGGGGACATCGGCGCTGCGAGCGCTGCCCGCCCGGAGAGCCCCGCGGGGTCACACGGACTGGACAGCCCAAGTCCCATTTCTGAGACTGGGAGTGACCAAGTGGACGTTTTCTTCAACTTCGGCTCACTGCACGGAAGCCACAGAGGCAGGATTCGGGGTTTAAAACAGTCAAATCGACCCGGTCCATTTACATAGATTTGCGGTGTAATGGCTCATCTTAGAAAAGTTCCCGAAGTCCTACAGATGTGTGTATCTGGTACGGAAATGAACCGTGCAAAACAATGGCTAGTGGTCAGCGGACTGCGGCTTTCAAATAACATTTGAAAGAAGAACCAAAGTCACCGTTTTCTTGGATGGCTCATTAAAAGGAAGAGCCGAGACCAGCGCCCCCTTCTCCAGGGACTTTATTTCTTGGCAGAAAAGCTCCCAGAGGCTCAGCGCGCCCGGGGGCCAAAGGGAAGTGGTTTCAGGAAACTCCCCAAGTGCTCCGGGAAGATGGGGGCCCACGACCCCCAGTGCAATGAACCTTATGCTGTAGCTCAGCGGCCGCCACAGGCACCTGCCCTGGGTCGCTTTCTCCATTTGGGGTCCCTGATAACTCAAGTGCCAGTCAAGTCACCCCTGTTTGGAACCAACTCCAGTGACCAGGACAAAGGGCAGCCCCGCCTAAGGCGCCACCCCGCTTCCGGCATCCGCCCCACCCCAGGCTAACGTACCGACTCCCCGCGAGGGCCCCGGGTCCCGAGTCCACCTTTGGGTCCTGGGTCTCCAGAGTCCCCCTGTGCATGAGAAACAGGGCTGAGGGCCGGGGCGGCTGACACGGGATCAGGCTTCCGTGTGGGCCAGGCCCTGGGATTCCCACAAAAGGGCTGTGTTAAGTTGCTACTTCCCGCGTGGAGTCCAGGAAAAGCAGCCAGGGAGGTCACGTTTGTCCTTTTATCCTCGTGGGGACATGCACATGGGGAGCAAGCAAGAAACAGGTGCAGCAGCCCGGACTGGCGGGCACAGGCGGCAGAGACAGCACTGGGTTTGCGTGAATACGATTGTGCATTAAGACGCTGCTCTTCAGACTAGCTGGGATCAACTGTAGTTTTTCTCCAGGTGGATAGAAAGCAGGTGTTCAGCCCCCACGTGACGGGCCCCAGCCGTCATGGCCCCCAGCCCGGCCCAGCGCCTTGGCCACAGCTCCACACGCACGCCTGTGCAGAGCTCGCAGTCTCTCTGGGTAGACACCTGGGTGTGGCGTCACTGGTCACACAGAAGATCTAGTTTTAATGCCTAAATCATACAGTGTTGCAAACCAATGTGGCCACAATAAAGGTAATACAATGTCTAAAAACTCTAGAGAAAGTCCCTCAGTGTGACCCTGACGCTGTGCTGAGCTGCCTGTGACCGCCCCAGCCCAGGTAGGAAGAGGCACTGCAGCCACCGGCTCCACAGGTCCGGCTGCAAGAAAGCCGGCCTGCTGAGCACTGCCCTGGAGGCAGCGGCCACATGGCCAAGCTGGCTGCCAGCCAGGGCGCAGGTGCGGGGAGGATGGTGGTGGGAGGGGGAGGAGCAGGAGGACAACTGATAGAGGAGGGAGTGGCCACCTGTCGTCCGGGGTGGGGGGGCTGACCTCAGCAGGTGAGCAGGATCGAGACCTACCTTTCTTCCCAGGGGACCGGTTCTGCCACGATCTCCAGGTGCCCCCGGGGGCCCTCCACTTCCCTGGAGCACAGCAAGAGCAGGGAGAAGTTCAGCCCCCAGCCAAGTGCCCCAGGTGGGGGCCACCACCCGCTGCACTCAGGGCCATTCTCAGCACCCGTGGCCCAAATGTGGCCATGCACAGGGACAGTTAGTGCAAACTGGGACATAAGCAAGACCACTCGGTGCCAGTCTGCACACACAGTGCGCTTGGCAGTTTTCAGTGTGCAAATCCTAAACTCCCGACTAGGGTTAGACACTGATCTCGGTGGCTGTTCCTCCCTTGGGCCCAGGGTGTGTGTTGCTGAAGAGGGGGCCTCGGGAAATCGTCCGTCTGTATAATGCCGGCCTGCAGATCACACCCCACGCCCCTCCTGTGCCAACAGTTCAGCTAAAGAGAGAGGTGGGATCAGGTGGGACTCACCCGAGCTCCAGGAATGCCCTGTTCACCAATCAGGCCTGGAGGACCTGTGGGGCCTGGGGGGCCCTGGAGAAGGAAAAGGCCAGTGTAAGTGCCACCTGGAGGAGATGCTCCCTGAGCATCACAGATCCTTCCATGTGGTGGCATATTATTCAGCCAAGAAAAGGGAATGAAGCACTGGCACGTGCTCTGCCCTGCAGCTCAAGCCCGGTGCTAAATGAAGGGACTGAGACTGCTCATGACTCCAGGCCGCGCCATGTCCAGGACAGGCCAATCCCCGCAGGCAGAGAGGGGAGCAGCGAGGGCTGTGCGGGTGGGGCTGACGCGCGGGATGCTGCCACGTCTGGAATCGAGGCGGGCGCTTGGGTGACTCTGGGGCTGTCTACATGCCCCCAGAGTCTTCACTCTAGAATGGCTCCTTTTGTGCTCAGTTTTGTAAAATTGACTTTCACTGCAACTTAGAGGGAAAAAACTGCTAGGGCATCTGGGAACGCATCACGGACAGGCAACCACACGGGTACTGACCTGTGCTCCGCGGGACCCCTGCTCCCCTGCAGAGCCCTGTGGGCCCGGACCGCCTGTGTTGCCCTTTGAAGGAAGAGAAAACGCAGGCAGGGGTCAGGGAGGTTCGCAGCGGGTCAGCTATTGCCCTGCAACCCCCGTTCCTCAGCTGGTTTTGTGAAACGAGATTATTTTGGCCAGAAGCTGCCTGGCGCGGGTGTGAAGAAGGAGTTGCCAGAGGTGACACCTGCTGAGGACCAGGTGAGGGGCACGTGGTGGTGGAGAGGCCCAGGCTGCAGCACCCCCCCCTCCGCTTCCCCCTACGGCTCCCCTGAACCCCAATGTCAATCCTTTCTAGGAGCTGAGGGAGGAGAATTTATTCTTGAAATCGTTTAGCCCGTGGTGCTCGAGGGGTCTCCCGGGAGCACAGGGCAGCCCTGACCAGAGGCTCACCTTCGCTCCCGCTGGTCCCCTTCGGCCAAAGCCGCCCTGCAGAGGAAGTCACGGGGAGGTGAGGCCCGGGACCACCTGGGGCAGGGGCCCTCGACCCCGCTCCTTCCAGCCTGGTCAGCCGGGGAGCACCCCCCTCTGCCCCTCTCCTCCGACGGCTGGGAGGGCCGTGTCCTGCCAAACAAAACATCGGCTCCTCGGCCTGGACAACCTTAGCCAAGCGCACAACAGGAATGTGAGACGGGGCTGTCGACCTGTCTATTTTCCTTCCACTTCCCAGCTGCTGGGACGAGTCAGCAGACACATCCCTCCCCGGGAGCCCAGCTCCCAAGCGCTCTGGCCAAATACAACAGGGTTGGCTGGACGGAGAGTCCAAGGCACTCCCGGGCTCCCCTGAGCTCACCCTGAGGTGACCCCAAACCTATGGGCTCGCTACAGATGTGACCCAGGAGCTCTTGCTCTGCGAGGGCTTCCTCTTGCGGAGGGTTTGGTAGGGAGCGCGACACCTGATCCATTTCTGCCAGGGCGAGGCCGGGGCACTGGCGCCCGCCGCACACCAGCCGGCTGGAGGCTTGAGCCCTCTGCTCCTTCATCCAAGAACCGCCATCTCCACCCCGTTTCAGAGCAGGCTCCTGCAGCATCCGGCACCACCCCAGGGACTCGCAAACTCCCCGCACAGGCCCAAGGTCCGAGCTCTGTGCACCCTGGGGCTCTGGGAGCTCCCCCAATGGCTCCCCAAAGACCATCTACGTGGCGTGAGCAATTCTCCAACCAGGCTCAAAGAACCAGCACGCAAGGGCTAGTCTGCAGGACACACACGCGAGGGCTCAGGGAGGCGGACAGAGCGCGCTGGAAACTGGGACTAGCCTCACTGCTCGGGCCGCAGGCCGCAGGCTGGAGATAAAGAGCATCGATGAAACCAGCTCCGCAGCCGGCCCCCCGCCGCCCGCCCCTCGCCCTCACTGCCCCCGTGTTCCGGTTTGTGTTTAGATTTTTTAACTATGCAGTAGGGAAAAACCTGGCCAAAGATTCGAGAGCAGCCAAGAGCCCACTGGGAGCGCCTCTGACCCTGGGTTTAGAGGGGAGGGAGGGAGACAGAAGATGATGGGAAGGAAGATTCCCAGAAGCCGCCGCGGCGGGTGGCAGTGCTTCCAGAATTGCCCCCGGATTCCCTACACAGGCGGTCGCCGCAGGCCCCCAGCCCGACACTCACGTCCTTGCCGGCTTCTCCCAGGGTCCCGGCCACTCCGTCTCGCCCAGGAAGGCCCTGGGCAGGGAAGGAAACTGGTGTCAGGCCCTCGGCAGAGCAGAATCTGGGTGCGTCACAAGACGCTGGAGGGGACCGACGAGGCCGAGGCCGGGGCGGTCAGGCGCTTTGTGGGGAGTGAGCCCGGTGCGCCCCCGCCCCCGGCCGGGCAGGCAGGTTAGTAACTATCAAGGGGCGCACATGGCTCCAGAGCGAGCCCCCGGGAACGGGGAGCACTGTACCAGGGGGCCGAGGTCCCCAGCTTCTCCTCTTGGTCCTGGCTGCTGGCTGTCCCGTCCCGAGTCTCCCTGCAAACACAGGAGCGGGGTGAGCGAGTGGACCCACCAGCCGCGGCAGCGTGAGCTCGGAGCCGGCCTCTGCGTGCGGCCCGGGGGAGGCCAGTCCACCCAGGCGCGGCTTGGCCGCTCTCGGCTCCAACAGGAGCAGAGGCTGGATGAGGGGGGCGGGGGGGCAGTGCTTGCAGGTGGGGGGCCCTGAAGCGAGAGAGCCTGCGAGCTCTGAGCTTCTGAAACAGCGAATTGAAAGCATCCTGAGACCCCATTAGGGGACCCTCCCGGGTTCCAGCAAACACGAGTCTTAGCAGTGGGGCGCCAACACCCCCACCCCCAGGCTGCGGGGAGCAGGAGCCACTGATGTGGCACTTGCTTCTCACCCCTTTCAGAAGCAAAACGCGTCCTGCCGCCCTTCTCCCCCCACCTCGTCCCCAGGGGCCGCGAGGGCCTTCCTTACCGGGTCCCCTCGGATCCCGAGGTCTCCCCGCTCTCCCTTGTCTCCCTTCAGCCCTTTGTCGCCCTAAACAAGAGCACAGGAGACGCTGAGAGCCAGGCCGGGCGTCAGTTTCCCGCCTCGGCCTGACGTCACCTCGCCAGCTCCCACGTGGTGGCTGCCGCCGAGTTCACAGGTGCGCACGGCGCGAACCCGCCCGCAGATAGTCCTGATTTGTCCACGTTTCCTACGTGCTTACTGGGGACCCCCTGCGCCCACAGTGCCCGACGCTGAGATTTATTTAAACGAAACACCCTCGGTCCCGGCCTCGGGGGCAACTCTGAGAATGCGCCCCAGGGGAGGCCCGGGCGGGCTGCCTGGAGGAAGCAGGCCTGACACGCGTGCAAGAGACCTGCTGGGGGAGTTTCAGAGCAACATGGACTCACCCTCCGCCCGGGATTCCCCTTCTCTCCAGACGACCCGGGCAGGCCCTTGTCCCCCTGCCAAAGACAACGAGAAAAGGTCATTCGCGGCAGTGCCCGCGGCACCGCAGGGCGGGGGCGGCTAGGGAGGGTCCTTACGTCTTCGCCATTCAGCCCGTCCAGTCCGATCTCCCCCAGCTCGCCCTGTGCGGGAAAGAGACGCGCCGTGAGCGCAGGAAGACAGCGGCCGAGGGCGGGCGGGGAATGGCGGAAAGGTTTAAATCTGAAATGACCGGAGCTCACGTACCTTCTCCCCTGGGAATCCACGAGAGCCCTGGGAGGAAGACAAAGGGGGACTTAGCTCCTGCGGGGAACACGCCCCCCACCCCCAGCGCAGCAGGCTGGGCCCCCACCCACCCTGGACGCAGAGAGCCGGCTTCCTCCTGCGCCCTCTCGCGCCGTGGGGCGGGGGGAAGGGGGGAAGGCCAGCCAGCGGCCCGAGCTCCCTGGCGGGGGCCTGAGAGCCAGACAGTGGAGCTCAAAAGTCCCGTTACGCCCCGGGGTGTGAGGCAGCCCCTTCTGCTCCGCTGCCAGCCCCGCAGCGCAGGAGCAAGCGCATCTGTGCTGAACGCAGCAGCACATGGGCAGTGCCCTCCCTCCCCTGGCAGCTGGCGGGCTCGGGGCTGGCGACCCTGGCATGGCCCCCCGCCCTGGCCCACAGTCCACTGTCCCATGACCGCCCCTGGCCATCCCTCTCTTGCCATGCTGGGGGCCCCTGCCCGTGCTGTGGCCAGATGTGGTGCTGCCGACTCAAGGGGCGCGGCCCCTGAGCTGAGACCAGCCCTGGGCCTCCACCCGGGGAGGCGTCTAGAGCCTGGGTCAGCTCTGCCCCTGCCACGGAAGCGGGCCACACGCTCGGGCCGGCCCACACCTGCCAGATGCTGTCACCGCCCCTCGTACCTTCACGCCCCTCTGGCCGGGGCAGCCCTGAAAGCCTTGAGTGCCGTTCACGCCAGGCGGACCCCGCTCTCCCTGTCAGGAGACAAAGGCGTTTGCAAGCTGCGCTGCGGGTCCCTGCGGCCTCGAGGTGTGTGTCACGGGGAAAGGCTGACTCGCTGCTGATGGGGCCTCTGCACCCCGAGCCAGGCAGAGGGCTGGTCTGGGACCCCGGGTAGCTGAGGCTGAGCGGGCCTCTCTGGGCACGGGGCTACTGGGTGCCGAGTCATCACGGCAAATCCTTCACCCGCCTGCTCCTGGGTGTCCCTGGTGCCGGCTCTCCGTGCGGCCCAGGCCCAGCCTGACAGGCGCTGCCTCCAGGGGCCTCACCACCGCTGCGGGCCCTTGCTCCCCACCCCAGCGGGTCAGCCTGACCTCGCCTGCCCCAGGCACTGATTCCGGAAGCTTTACCCACCCCAGCCGGTGCCCTGGCGACAGATCGTCCACACCAGCCGTGAGGCTCCCCAGCCCCAGCCTCAGCCGCCCCTTCTCTGGTTGGCTCCCCAAATTCAGGAGGCGTGGGGGGTACCACAGTCAGAGGCCTCTGGCCAGAAACCACTACCGCCCCCAGACACGGGACGAGCTGGCCCTGCGCTGCACCCCACACCCACTCCGGTGGGTGACAGATGCGGAGGAGAGGCGGGAAGTGGCAGGTGGCACCGGTCACTGCTCAGGCCCGCGGGTGAGGAAGGAGACACGGGCACTTACGGGGCCTCCCTCCTCGCCGGGGTAGCCCGGGTAGCCGTCCTCTCCGGAAACGCCCTGAAACAAAGAGAAAAGGGTCTGGTGAGTCCTGCGCTTTCTCCGTCCTGAGTTACCCCCGTGCCCCGCACCTGGCGAGGCAGGTTCACTGTGGTTTCACGTTTCCTTGAACTGAGGCACTCCCTGCACGTTGGCGCCGTGTCATTCTCCTTCCTACCGAGAGCTCGGCCTCTCTCGGGCCCCCCAGAAGGCCTGTCGGCTTCCTACGACGCGGGGGCCGAAGCTGGGCACCCACTGCCGGCCCCACGCTGCCGGAGCCGACACTGTCTCAGTGAAAGAGAAGCGCGGAGTCCCTCACCCCACGAGGGCACAGCGGCGCCGCGAGGGCCTGTCCTGCCCACAGCGAGACCCCCCACCCGACACTGGGCCCGGCCCTCGCTGGTCTCGGGCGCGGGAGGGCGAAGCCGCCGGCCATACCTTGGGCCCGATGCTGCCGATGGAGCCGCGGTCGCCCCTTTGCCCGGAGCACTTGCAGGGAACCCCACAGCAGGCCTTCTCGGCAATGTTGTCCTGCCGAGGGGAAAAGAAAAATTAAAATCTCATGACGGCCCAGAGGAGCAGCACAAACGTGCAGAGAAGGTGCATCTGCCGCCTGGACCCGCGGGAGCGGCCGCCGGCCGGGAGAGGCGCGCGCTCACCAGCTGCTCCGCCAGCTCGTAGTCCAGGTCCAGCAGGTTCAGCCGCAGGGGCCGGTTGTAGGTGAATCCTCGGCCGAACTCCAAGTGCATCAGCCCCTCCAAGTCGGCCACGCGTTCCAGGCCCACCAGGATCAGCGCCCGGACGCCTGGGGGGAGCGGGGGTCACCCAGCATCTGCGTCTCCCCATCCCCTCTCCTCCTGCCTTTGTTGTTCTAAAGGAACCTTCCGTCTAAAACGCGCCCTTAAGAGCTGAGGCGCCAGAACGCAGGACGCGCTGAGCGACGTCCGGTCACGCCAGGCACTGCCTGGACAGACCACGCTGAGGAAGCGACACGAGGCGTCCCCGCCGGCTCTGCGCTCCTGCCAGGCACACCACAGGCGCCGAGAGCGGGGGCACCGCACCGCCCAGGGCCGGCCGCCTCGTGTCTGCTACTCGGGAAAGGCCGTCGAGACGCTGAGATCCGTCACGGTCGCGCCTCCATGCGCTCTGCCTAAGCCCCGGGGACCGGCCTCTGGCCTCCGCTAGTCACTGCTGCCAAACTCCCGGGCAAGGAGCCGGGGCGACCTCCGACAGCAGACTCGCCGCGTGGGCTTCCGCTAGTCGCTCGTGTCAAAGCGAGTCTTTCCTTACACGAAGCACCTCTGAGCTGCGGTCACGGCAAACCCCGGGTACCGCGAGGGTCCTTGCCGGCAAGCTGGGTCCTAGGCTACCGCACGCAGCGAAGCGAGTCAGCACTTCTTGGCGGAACTATCAAGATTTCTGCGGGCACCGGGGAGTGTGAGGTCCGCGGACCAGGCCCGGACTCGGCAGAGCGTGGGCAGTGCAGAAGGGAGAGCCCCAGGACGGGGCCTCCAAAGGAGCTGCGCCTCAGGGGCCCCAGCTGAGCCCCCACACCCCCCACCCCCGCCAGGCTTACTCCTTGTGGACCCACCTTCTTGTCGAAGCTGCTCTGAAGCTTTCTGTAACTCAGCCATGTCTCCATCTGCCCCGTCGGTGAAGTGAATGACCACCTGCAAACCAAGGCCAAAGTCCAGCTCACGTCCAGCACGCAGAATCTCCTGGCCCTCTCGTCCAGCACATGGAGCCTCCTGACCCCCAAGTCCAGCACACGGAACCTCCTGACCCCCTCATCCAGCATGCGGAACCTCCTGACCCCCACGTCCAGCACACAGGACCTCCACAATCCCAGCCAGACCCCCTGGAGAAGAAGAGGGACTCAGGGAGACCTAACTTGCCGTGCTCCATCAGTCAGTGTCCTGTGCCCGGAAAGGAGGGGAGGCGGGCGGGCGGGCAGTGGCTCAGACTCTTTCAAGGAAATGGGGAGCTGAGACAGCTCACACCCCTCGTCTCACAGGGGATGAGGAAACTGGCCACACTGAGGGAACCAGCCGTCTCGTGGCTCTCAGGCTGTGCAGCAAGCGGGTATGGGGCAGCCTGGGCGTGTCAGGGCTACGTTTATGTCGCTCTCATACTTGTGGGTATCGTTTCTGGGAATCGTGGGGGCACTGGGTGACGTCCCTGCAAAACTCTATGGCAGAGCCTGAGCCCCAGCGCCCAGAACACGACCGTGTTGGCCACGGGGCTTCTGGGGAGGGGGAGTCGGTGAGGCCCCTGGGGCGCCCATGCGACAGGATGGTGTGTTCAGAAGAGAGCAGGACACAGTCCCAGCAGAGGGAGACGGGGGAGGCCGCCGTGCCACCGAGGAGCTGGGATGAGTGATCGCCCCGCGGCGCCTCGGGCCCTGCCCTCCAGAGCTGCGTGAAAGCAGAGACCGTTCCTTAGCCCCAGCCCGGGAGCCCACGGGATGCCGAGCGCGGCCCGGCACACGGCACGGCGCCTGGTGGGGGTGTGTGGCACCACACGGAGGCACGAGTCTGTGCCACACGGGGACGGAGGAAAAACTGCAGGAAAACATGAATTCTTTAAATGGGCAGGGCTCGGATGAAACACTAATCACGGGTTCCACTCATCCTCGCTCCCCACTGGTTTCCAAGACTTTGCTTCTAGAGCGCAAGCAAAACAGTACAACGCGGTAGACACCGCAGTCCTGGCAACGAAGGACCTCACCAGCCACCGCGGACAGCGTGCACGGAAGCGCCTGAAGAGGGCCCGGCCGCGGGGCATCCCCCCCCCTCCCCCGCCAGCGGAGGCCCCAACCCGCTGCTCACCTTCACGCTGTCGGGCGAGGCCTGACTGAACTTGTTCTGGTACAGCTTCAGCGTGTCCGCTGTGAGGACGTACGGGTGCCGGCTGCGCATGCCCCGGAACTTCTCAAACAGCTCCGGCCTGTACTCGTCAAAGTCAAAGGCCTCCACGGGTCCCGAGGGCGTGTTGGCCACCACGGACACCCGCACCATGGGGGACTGGCTGCCGCTGCAGCTAATCCTCTGCATCTGGCTGATCCTGTTCAAGATGGTGTCCACCTTGGACTCCAGACCTTTCTGGGTCACAAAGACGTTCTGGTTGCTTGAGCCGTCGAAGCCCAGAATGACATCCAGGTTACAGACTGGAAGGGAAAAGCAGGGGAGGAGTCTCAGACCAGGCTGAGGCGAGCCCCAGGGCCTCACCACACCCCGGGGCTGGAGCAGGGTCTGGAGTGGGGTCTGGGCTGGGATCTGGATGGGGATCTGGAGCAGGATCTGGACCGGGATCTGGAGTGGGACAGGACCCTTGAGGACGAAGGAGAGCTTCTGCACATGGGCTTTGACAGCAGCTAGGTCTGCACCTCTCAAAAGCGGAATGATGCTAATCTCCAGGAACCTGAGTTAGAAACCATTTCAAGGTGCTGGATTTGGGGGGACGTTAATCAGCTGGGGGACCACAATCAGTCAGTGCTGAGAGGCCTCTCAAGTGCGTGCTCTCGATGAAATCACTGAGAACTTCAACGCCCTCATCTCAAATAATCCATCTAGTGACCATCGACAGACACAACTCAGTTCAAATGAGTGAGTGATTTGGAGCACTGAGGATGGGGTGGGAGTGAGCCTCGCCAAGGCGAGTGAAAACAGATCCATGCCTGTCCCAGAAGCGCCCCCACAGCAGGGCTGGGTGATCAGCAGGGCCAGCCCGGGCCTGCAGCGACCGTGGGCTCCAGGGGTCCAGCCCACTCTGGGGCCAGGGAGCTGGGCGCCCCCGCGGGACGGGCACACGCATGCGGGCCTCACCCTTGGAGACGTCGCTCACACCAGGGCACAAGGTCTCGTGCATGGCGTCATGCAGCGTTTCCAGCACCTGCTCGCTCAGCTCTGACAGCTCCTGCACGTTGCCCACGCGGAAGGCCGTGGCGCTGTTGGAGGCGATCTTCCCAACCTCCCCGGAGTCGATGTTCCTCACGCCCACCGCGAACACCTTGACGCCGCTCTGGGTGAGCGCCAGGCTCGCCTCCTGCGCGTCCTCCACCGACTTCCCGCCCGTGATCACAAAGGCGATCTGGGGCACCCTCTGGTCCAGGCGGCTGCCCGCCTCGGGCACGAAATGCTTCTGCCGCAGGTGCTCGATGCCCACCTTGGTGTTGGCATGCCGCCCGCCCTTGTAGACCACCTTGTTGATGGCGTCGATGATCTGCTCCTTGGAGGAGTAGTCCTTCAGGAAGAACTCGTCGGTGGGGTCGGAGTTGTACTGGACCAGCCCCACCTGGATGGAGTCGCCCCCTTCATAGAGCGTGTCCACGATCTCGGACACGAAGCGGAGCACCTCCTGGAACGCTTCCCTTCTGAAATTGATGGACCCATCCAGCAGAAACACGATGTCCGCCTTGTTTTTCTCTAAAAGATATTAAAGTGAAAGTGAGAGTCGGGCTTCACATCCAGAACACACATAATATTTACATTATTTCAATGTAAACTGAAATAATTGAAGTAGGACCTTCCTGTCCCTTTGTCCCCATGAACACTGTCCTAAGGCCCCGTCGGCCCTGGATCCACGGCCCTTGTGACGAGAAGAGAAACGACAGAGCAGCTGGACTGAAAGGACAGGCAGGCTCCCGCTAGCCCAGCAAAACGGTGCCGTGGGTGGGTTCTCAGTCCCCGGGTGCTTAAGGAAACGCCACCAAGCTCGTCCTTCCTGCTCAGAAGCTCGGTGCCGTCTGGCAGGAGAGGGGCCGTGAGCTGGGGCAGAGCGGGGAAGGGCCGGGGACAGACCAGGAAGGGGAAGCAGGTCCCCGGGCAGCACGCAGGAGCCGGCTGCAAATCCCTTGGGGAGGATCTCATGACACTCAAACCACCAAGCCTGGAGCAAGGAGGGAGTGAGGAGAGCTCGGGATTCGCCGCACGAAGCAGGAGGAGGACGCGGCCGAGGGGCACAGGAGCAGGCCCCAAAAGCCGGCCTAGCATTCGCTCCAGATGGACACACGACCTGGAGGTGGCCGCGGGAAGGTGTGGGCTGGGGGGGAGTCACTTGCCCTCAGCAGCCCCAAAGCTGCCATCCAGGAGCTTGGGCTAGAGCTTTATGTGGGTAGCGCCAAGATCCCCCCGGGAGGATCTGGTCTAAGCCGGGCAGGGAAGGCACCTGCCACGGAGGGGCCCAGTCCAGAGGGGCCAACTCAAGGATGCCGTCCCACGCCGAGCGCCGAGGACCCTGAGCTGACCCCCAGGCCCTGCCTAGACCTGCCAGAGACCCTCAGGAGTCTCGGGGGCTCAAGGAAGGCTCAGGGAGAATCGGCGACGTGGCTTTCTGGGACACGTTTCCTCCTACAGTTTCAACTGAACTACTTCTCTGACATCCCAGTGTGATACCAGCAGCAACAGCCCCAGAGAGACTCACTCACTAAAAATAAATGCCAATCGGGCCTCCCTTGTGACACAGGGTTACATCTCAGCACTATCAAGCTACTGCCAGCCACCCGACTCCATCCTCGGCCAGGGAGCTACCCACATGGTGCCGCAGACCTCTCCTGCTGCTCCCCGCAGGAGTGGATTTCAGTAGATCTGCCTGTTCTGTTCCCCGCTCTGTCTCTGGTGAGTCCTCTCACCCCTGCATCTCTGGCCTGCACCCCAGCTCTACTATGCATAAATAAATACAAATAAATCTTTAAACATTTAAAATAAATAAACGCCAATCACATTTTTTCAATGAAAAAACCAACAGCACGCTCCGCTGTCACAGTCCACGCTCCTACCTGGCCACGAGGGGGAAGGAACGTCCACTCCCGGGGGGGCCGGCGTGAACCTGGAGGGGCCGAACGCGTTCATGACCTGGTCTTCCACGTTGGGGAGGTCTCTGAACTCCCGCACGGTGACCACCAGGCTGGGGTCGCTGGTGATGGTCTGCGCCTCCGCCCGGTCCATGTTCCGGGACCCCACGCCCACGCTCACGATCCCCGAGGACCTCATCACCTGCGAGGCCCTGGTCACGTCGTCCTGCGACTTCCCGCCCAGAAAGAGGACCAGGTGCTGGGGCACCCCGTCTTCTATCCGGCTCCCTGCAGACTTGACGAAGAGATTCCGCGCCACGAACTCCAGCGCCTTGCCGGTGCTCAGCGGGGCGCCCCCACGGAAGCGCAGGCGGCGGATATTGTCCAGCACGGCCATCTTGGACTTGTGGGTCTTCAGGTAGAACTCCGGGAAGACCTCGTTGCTGAACTGCACGACCCCGATGCGCATCTTGCTGGGGCCGATGTTGAGCTTGCGCACGATCCTGCCGACAAAGTCCCGGATGTGAGCGAGGCCGTCGGGCTTGACGCCGTCGGAACTGTCGATGAGGAAGACGATGTCGGCAGCGTCGCTCTCCACGGCTGCAAGGAAAGGGCCAGAACGCTTGTGTCTAAGCCCGAGCGTGTCACGCACCGAGCTACAGTGATAAACCTCGTGTGCGTGTCTCGCTCGGGCTCTTTGAGATTAATCAAAACAGGAAATTTTCCACCAAAAAAACTCTCCTATTGAAACATAAGTTCCCCAATCTGTTTCCTTATTCTAGTGCCGGCTCTGGCGCCTGGGTCGTGACAACTGTTTAAAATGCAAGCGGTCTTGGGCCTCCCCGGCGGCCGAGGGACTGTCTCAGCACTGTCACGTTATCACCCTGACGCCCGAGTCCATGCCCGGCCAGGAGCTGACCCACCGGGCGCAGCAGACCTCTCCTGTCTCCCCGCTGCTCCCCTCAGCAGTGGATTTCAGTGGATCCACCTGTTCTGCTCCCCACTCTGTCTCTGGTGAGTCCTCTCACCCCCGCACCTCTGGCCTGCACCCCAGTTTTTCTACACACAAAAAAAAATTATTTTAATGTAAACAACCTTTAGAAATAAATCCCAGGTTACAATAATCTACTGAACCCAAACCACTTCTACCAGAGGGAGCAAGACCCCCCCAGACCAGCACCCTGCTATCCAAGAGTGCAGGGCAGCTGGGGTCAAAGGTCCTTTGCTCTCACACAAGGACACTCCTCAGCTGGTGAGAGCCAAGGGCCCCGAGCCCAAGGGCGTCTGCCCAAGGGTTCGCATCCAGGCGTTTTCCCTCATAGTAAGGATTCTAGATGCTTTGGGGGCTGCTCCCTGCTGGGTCGCTTGACTGACTTGGCCACTTTGAGAGGAAACAGTGGAAGCCGAACAATCATGGTGTTGAGCCACTGACCCTGGGAAAGGGAAAAAGCACCGGGCAGGCACCTCCAGCCCTGGTCCCCTGCAGAGCAGAGAGCTCACGGGGCGCGGACACCAGACAGAGCTGAGACCCCTCACGGGCACGCGAACGCTCACACAACAAAGACAAGGACGCAAGCACCCCAGCCTGGCTCGAGGAGTGGCCTCTACCGCACAATTACAGCCCCAGCCTGGCCTTGGCACACCACCCCGCGTGGCACCCCCTCCACCCGGACAACGTCCAGCTGGGCCACAGCCCCTTCCCGAGGCCGTTCACAGAGTCGCTGCCACCAGCTCGAGTCGGGGCACAGACCCTTCCTTCCACCCTCTTACAGTGCCACCCGAGCTCCCCCGTCCTGCATCCTCCGTCCCCCAATAACAAAGACTCCGTGGTCAGTCCCCAGCGTGCCCTGTGCACCTGTGGCTTCCCGGGAGCCCCCCGCCTCAGAGCCCTGGGGGTGTCTGGCGCCAGAGCACGCAGAGAAGGCGCGCCCGGTCTCACCTGGGGAAGGGTAGCGGCTGTCGGCCAGGATCTTCTGAATCTGCTCCGAGGTGAGGGTGGTGATGGGGGTCAGCAGCTTCTGCTCCAGGCTGGGCAGCTCCCTGAAGGTGCTCACGGAGAAGACGTACTCGGGGCTCAGGGAGATCTTCACCAGCTCCTCCTGGTCGGCGTTCTTGGCCACGGCGAAGGGCGCCACGCCGAACTGCTTCAGCTCCACGGCCGCCTCGTCCACCTCGTCGGTGGACTTCCCGGACGAGACGAGGACCAGGAACTGGGGCACGCCCTCTTCGATCCGGCTGCCCAGCGGCCTCTTGAAGATATTCTTGGACACGTACTCCAGGGCGCCCCCGAGGTTGACCTGCCGCCCGCCCTTGGGCCGCAGCTGGCGCACAGCGTTCAGGACCTCGTCCTTGCTGGTGTGCGCGTTCAGCAGGAACTCCACCCGCGGGTCCTCGCTGAACTGGATGACCGCCACCCGCGTGGTGTCAAAGCCCACGTCCAGGTAGTCCACCAGCCTCTCGATGAGGGCTCGGATGTGCTGAAACTCGGGGCCGGCGCCTTGAGACCCATCGATGAGAAAGACCACATCCTTCTTGCCGCCAGCACCTACGGACCAGACACCACCGCGGCGTGACCTGCGCGGCTCCCAGCTCTCAGCGGCACCGAAGCCGTCCACAGGGGCAAGGCAGCTGGGCGCTGACTGGACATAACCTGCCAGCCCCGGGAGAGGGCCCCGGGCTCCTCAGTGACGACAGCTCGGGGGAGAGGAAAAACCAGCAAAGGAGAAGGAAGAGCAACCCCGAGGGAGACAGAGACTAGAGCCAGGGCCGCGCCCGACCCACGGGGGTGGTCACCAGCCACGGAGCAAGCAAGATGGCGCCGAGACGCAACCGGCGGGCTCTGCCGTTGGAGGACCTTGGCGAGAGTACTCAGTGTCGAGTGGCCGGAGGGAAGGGCAGAGTGGATGTGCTCACTCCTACAAAGACACTAGAGCACCACAGCGGGGGAGCAGGGCTCGGGGGGAATTTCTAAGAGAAGAGAAGCCATGCAGGGGTCGCCAGCACGGTGGAGAGCTGAGGCCGGAGACAGGAGAGCAGGTGCCGCCGGGGGTGGGTGGGGAGGCGCCAAGGCCCACAGCAGCTCTGGCAAGGGCGGGCGAGGAGCTGAGATGGCCGGGCGTGGACTGGAGCTGCTGGAAGGTCTTCCCAAGGCACCTGCATCTCCTCAGTGACAAGGGCCCAGGCCACCAGCTCAGAGACCGCGGAGGGAGGACGGCGCAGGAGAGCAGGTCGGGGGAACGAGACACAGGGCCAGCTGTGGGGGGGCGAGGGGCTAGGAGCTATACCGGGCAAACCTGTTCACGTGCACACTAAAGAAATCCCACAGACGAGCATCTCATCTGGGGGACAACAGCGCCCCAGGGTGCACCGCATCAAGGGTGCCTATGGGAGACGCCCCGTTCCCTTATTGGGCTGGCGAGACACAAAGCACCCCCGGCCTCGCTCATGTCCTTCATCCCGCTGCCTCTCAGCAATTTAACCAGGAGCCCTTTGGAACATTCCATGGAAACCAGGGGCAGGCTGGGCTCTGTCCTGGGCCCCAGGGAGCTGATCGCCCCCAGCAGCTCCTCGTCAGGCATCCCCACCCCCGCTGTGTCCCGCCTCGGATTCCTTCCTTTTCTCCTCTCCCTGCCTCGTACCCCGCCTCTCCCCTCCCCTCCCAGCCGCGAGGCCGGGCAGCATTGGGTACAACGCGAGGCAGGTGCCCCCGACCGCTGTGGACCCCGTCCCACCCAGAGGGCAGGCCCTCGGTGGGGCTGGGGACTTTTGGGGGGATGTAACTTCTCAGCAGCCAGGGCTCCCACTGTTTTCTGGTTCAGGGCACCAGACGCAAATGGGGGACAGGACAGAGGAAACACTAAGCCTTGGGCACCAGAGCTGCTGACCACACCCCCTGCTGACCACACCCCCTGCTGACCACAACACGAGCCTCACGCCTTGGCCCTGGACACGGCAGCATTTCAGAGACTGTGCCCGGGGCACAGAGCCTGCGGCCATGCTCCCCCCGGACCCAGAAGGAGCGGGTGGACAGCTGCGGGCGTCAACCGCCTCCCTGCAGCTCCCATGGGGAAGTTCGATGTGGGGGGCGGGGCGCGGGCTGAGCTCCAGGTTAAATCCGCCCTGCTCTGAACCTTTACCTCAGCCCCAAACACAAATCTCTGTAGGCCGAGAAACACACATTACGGACACCCTACAGCCCACAGCCCAGACAAGTCACCCAGCTGTTTCCAAGGAACAGGAGCCAAAGAACTCTCCCCTCACCTGGGCGCCCGGGCGGGCCCAGAACGGGCTGCAGCCTGCCCACCTCCTGGCGGTTGAGCTGGATCACCCGCTCCGAGACCACCTGCTGGATGGACTCCAGCCTGCGGAAGTCGGGAATGGCCACGGCGAAGTCAGGGATGAAGGAGATGGTCTGCATCTCTGTGATGTCGGCGTTGCCGATGCCGATGCCGATGGGCACCGCCCCGCCCTGCTTCAGGACTATGGAGGGGGCCAGCACGTCGTCCCCAGACCGGTCGGCCGTGAGGACAATCAGGAGCTGGGGGACGCCCTCTTCGATCCTGCTTCCCGCAGACTCGACCAGGATATTCTGCAGGACGAAGCTGAGGGCGGCCCCGGTGTTGGGGGTCGGCCCGCCCAGCAGGGTCAGCCGGCGGATGGCGCTGATGACACTCTGCTGGTCCATGTAGGAGTTCAGGTAGAACTCGGGCCTGGTCCGGTCGCTGTACTGCACCACGGCCACGCGGACACGGTCCCGGCCCACGTCCAGGCTCTCCACCACCCTCTGGACGAACTCCTTCAGCAGGGAGAAGCCGCCCCTGACGCCCTCCGAGCCGTCGATCAGAAACACCACGTCCTTCTCACCTGAAACTGGGGGCAGGGACAGCCTGGTGACTGGCTCTGGGGATAGAGGGACGCACGTGCCCGTGGTGCAGCTGGATAGCGCCCCCCCAGGTAGGCGTTCCCCAGCCCCGGAGCCTGGAGAGGGACTCTGCAGGCGTGATTAAGGCCTGGGGGTTATCCCAGACGATCCAGGTGGACCCAGGCTAAGGGAGCCTCATGAAAAGGGAGACACAGGGATCAGAATCAGAGAAAGACGATATAAGGACAGAAGCAGAGGTCGAGAAGAGAGAGCCCGCCGCCCTGCCGCCCGTGACAGTGGAGCAGGGGCCGTGAGCCACGAGCACCAGCGGCGCTGGAAGCAGCGAGAAAGGGGCGATCTGCCGGGACCGCCGGAGGGACCAGACTTCACTCCCCGGAAACTGGTTCTGGATTTCTGACCTCTAAAACTGCAAGAGAAATTCAGTGTGGTTGAGAGCTACCTTCGCGGGGTAATTTCTTACAGCAGCGATATGAACCAGCGTGCTGACAGACGGGAGCGAGGAGGGATGCGTGGGTGGATGTGTGCTTGGATGGAGGGATGCATGGATGCATTGAAAGACAGGCAGACAGATAAACATTGCCCTTTTCCCTTAGAATTTTTCAATGCTTGAAGTTTGGTTAACTTTTAAAAAGGTACTCAGACACCGCCTGAGCAGGCTGGCGCGCGAGGAGCGGCAGAGGCGGCAGAGGCCCCGGGTGTTAGAGGCGCGGGTCCCGAGCCACGCCCTGCCCGTCACAGCGGTCGGCAGGTGTCTGGGCGGCCGTCCGCGGCCAGGAGGAGAAGCCGAGCGCCCAGCAGAGGACCTGGGGCCTCGGTTCTCAGTTGAAAGGATTTTAAGTGAAGTCCAGGACTCCTCACAGCATTTTCTCCCCAGGTGGGGAGGGTTTAAACACAGAACCGCGGCAGCGCGGGTCAGCAGTGGGAAATCTTAATGCGGCATTTATCATGGGGTTTACCTGCCTCTCGTCACGCCTTGTGTTCTTAGTAAATGTAGTGAACAAATTCTAATCCTATTTTGATACCCACTTAAAATAAGGCATTGGGGGAATATGAAGATGAACCCTCTCTGCTCTAATTTATCCACATTATATAACTTGACGCATATAATAGCGTTTTTCCAAAAAGGACCTTTAGCTGTTGATCATCTAATTCTTTACGATGAGGCCTTTAGCTGTTGATAGGATCTGCTGAGGTTCTTAAAAATAATCACCCTGCGGCCTCCCCTGGTGGCACAGCGGTTGAGCGCTGGGTTGCGAAGCTGCCCGCAGCCTCTGCAGCGCCGGTTCGATCCCCGGCCGCCGAGCGAGGGTCCCACATGGCGCGCAGACCTCTCCTGCCGCCCGCTGCTCCCCTCAGCAGTGTACCTCGGTCCTTCTGCCTGTTCTGTTCCCCGCTCTGGCTCTGGTGAATTCTCTCGCCCTCCCGCGCTTCTGACGGTCCCCAGTGCTTGTATAAATAAATAAATATATCTTTAAAAAAAAAAATCACCCTGATTCTCCTGGTTTGCCCCAGAGAGCAGAAGAGTCAGAGTGGAGAAAGGAGAGCATGACCCCCGCTCCTGCAGAAACCACCCCCCGCTCTCTGCCTTCCCAGGGGACCCACCGAGGTCTCCCTGCACCAGCCACCGTCAGCCCACGCCAGGGAGCAGCTCCCCACCGCGGCCATACCTGGCGTCGCCGCCCCATTGTGCACGGACTTCAGGAGGTTGACGATCTGTGGCTGAAGCTCTCCGATCTTGGGGAGCGACTCCGCGGCCAGGATGAAGGCGGGGGACAGCACGACGAGCTCCAGCTCGGCGGGGTCCGCGCTCTTGGCCTGCAGGACGAAGGGCACCACGCCGCTCTGCTTCAGCCTCCTGGCCGGCTCCTCCACGTGGTCCGAAGCCTTCCCGGCCACCAGCAGCACCAGCAGCTGCAGCACCCCGTCCTCCGCGCGGCTGCCAGCCGACGGCACGAAGATGTGCTTCTGCGCGTAGTCCAGCGCCAGGCCCAGGTTGAGCGGTTTGCCCGTCTTAATCTTCATCCTCTTCACCAGGTTCAGGATCTCGGGCTTGTGCTGGTGCTGGTCGAAGCGGGACTCCACTCTGACGTCGTCGCTGTACTGGGCCACCGCCACGCGGGTCCCGTCCGGCCTCACGTCCAGCTCCTCGATGACCTTGTAGAGGAAGTCCCGGACGCCGGGGAACTGGCCCACAAGGTTGGCCGAGCCGTCAAACAGGAAGAGGACGTCCCGCTTGCTCTCTGCGGGGCGAGCGGACAACACAGTGAGGGTGGGGAGGCAACACACCACAGCGACCTCCCCCTCTCCACCGGCCGGCCAGGCAGCGCCGGCTTCTGCTGAGCACTGTACCAGCAAGAGAAGGGCCCCCAGCTGCCGGGAAACACCCCCTCAGAGAGAGCACCTTTGCTAAGGGCCGGGACAACCGCAGGAGGCCTGGAGCTCGCGCTCCACAGAGCAAGGCACAGGAGGCCGGGCTCCGCCCGCAGCGGACAGTTAGGGACGGACCGTGAGCAGTGGTCACAGGCACGGCATTGGAACGTGGCCGTTGCTACAGCAATCAACTGCCCTGTGTCTCGGGCACAGTTGCCAAGGGTGAACCAGCCGGGGACACCGAGCTGACCTCCCAGGAGGTTCTCCAAGAAATATGAGGTGTGGGCTGGCCCCCAGAGTGCCCGAGTGGGACGAGAGCGGAGGGGACGCAGCCCGCAGGGCCGGCCATGTGCCCCAGGAACACTGTTTTCAGTAGAAACAGGGGTTAGAATTATTCGAATCCGTTTCAACTGGTCCAGACCTGCTGCCCAAGCGTGTGACGTCAGCAAGCTGGTAGGAGGAGCACACCTGCCTCACGGCCACCGGGGTCTGCCGTGGTAACAATTGCACCACGCGCTTCCTGTGGAAGCCGTTTCACGTCACATGGAAACAGAGCCCGGGACAGGTGGCGCGGCAGGAGCAGCAGGAGCAAAGAAAAGAATGTCCGTGTCTACACGCCCCTGTGCATCGTCACGTATGAAAGGGACCAGCGCTCTCTCTGGGCCTTGTCGCTCATTCTCATCTCGATTTTCACTCTGGGGTGTTCACAGGAAGGGGGGCAGGGGCGGGTGGCTTCTGAATAAGGGGGGGATAAGACGGCAGAACACGAGCTGCATTTTCTGGACTTGCTTCCGTGGGCCAGTCCCGCCTGGGCGGGTGACCAAAGCTTGCTGGTACAGTGTCTCAAGCCCCGGGGCCCCAACCGTCCTTCCAGCGCACACCCCACTCTGGAGCTCAGGCCGGGCCCCCCGGCCCCCCGGGGACGCTGTCGTGCGGGTTACCTGGCTGGGCGAGGGCCACCTCCTCCACACCTCCACTAACATACGTGGTGAGGGGCTGAATCAGCTGCTGCGGCAAAGCGGGCAGGGAGCTGAAATCGTCCATGAGGTACACCAGGCTCGGGTTAAAAGCGATCTGCTCGAGCTCCGCCCTGTCGGCCTGGCGCGCCCCCACGCAGAAGGTGAGCACGCCCGCCCGCGCCAGGGCGTTGGCAGCGTGCAAGTAGGCGTCCTGGGCCCGCCCGGCCGTGAGCAGGAGCAGCAGCTGGGGCACCTGTTCCCGGATCCTGCTGCCCCCGGCTTCGGTGAAGTGGTTGGCCAGGACATAGCTCAGGGCCGAGCCGGTGTTCAGGCCCGAGCCCCCCTGGAGCTGCAGCTGCTGCAGGTGGGCGAGCAAGTCTGGCTTTGTCTGGTACTGGTTCAGGGAGAACTCCGTGGCCGGAGTGTCGCTAAACTGCACTACACCGACGCGGATGCTGTCGCTGCCCACGTCAAGGCTGCTAACTACGCTGGTTACAAAGTCCCGCACATAAGGGAAATTGTTCTTTCCCACGTTGAGCGATCCATCCAAAAGAAAGATGATATCCCTTTTGTTTGCGTGAACTGCAGTGGAGCACAGAAAACAAGTGAGACAGGCACGGAGACCGTCATGTGTGCCCGCGCGGGGACACGCATGCCCGCTTCGGGACAGACGCCAGGAGCGAAGCGTGCCCGCCCTGTGCAGGCCCGGCTGTGCGCACCCCAGGCGGGGGGTGGGGCGGGCAGGCGTGGCGACAGCCGACGTGACCAGACGAGACAAGTGGGTGCAGAGAGAGTGGACACAGGGCCGAGGGCAGGAGGTTTGCAGACAACAGAAACGGTCAGAATCCTTGAAACAGACGGAGCCTGGCCTGGAAATGGATTCTACAAGGGTGACGTGGCCGCAAGCGGTGCCACCTCACTTTCCAATCTGCTGCAGGTGGACACCCGTGAGACTGGCCCTTCCGGGTCCACCTCAAGCACGCCCCGAGAGCGCAGGGGCCACGTCAGGCAACACTGAGGGCCTCGAGGCTGAAACATCGATAAAGGGGAGCGGTTCTAGCCACGCTCTCACCGGGACCCCCGCCTTCATCTCTACTCAGGGCACGGCCCGCCCGGCAGCCCTGCAACGCGGGCTCGCGGGCTCCGGGTCAGGAGACTCAAGGAAACACAGAGCCCCTGGCTGTGCGTGAGGTCACGTAGGACAAAAGAAATTCTCAAATTGGAGCATTTTCCTCAACACATTTAGCACATGCCTGGAAAATCCTTACTCTGCGTTTCTTCCTTAAAGGAACCTTAATTTCACCCTGCCCCATCAGGGTGAGCTTCGGCTATGGACTTGTGGACTAGAAGTTGGAAGAAGAGGGAGGGAGAGACAGAGAGAGACAAGAGGGGGAGCGTGTTTGTGCGCCGGCTCATGCACCCTATAACCCTAAAACCTTTGGGTGGCACCGAGGCGGAGAAGTGCGAGCCGCAGCGTTCATCTCCACTAAGGACAGAGGGCCGAGGTGCCCCGATCGGGGAGCCCCCAAGCACTGCAACTTCTTAAAAAATGACTGCACTGACCGCCCTGCTCTGAGGGCTGGACAGACGGGCGGCTGCGTGTCAGCACCTGACCCCGGCCCTGCCTTCCCATGAAGCCAACCCCTTCAGACAGGGGCCAGGGGCGCGTCCTCGCTGGCCAGGTCTGGGTCACTTGGAAGTGGACCCTCAGCTCAGGGAAGGAGAGCAGGGCTGCCTCTTGGGGGCGGGAGAAGGAAGCTGCACCCCACAGGAGTGGAAGGTCCCAGCATCTGGCAAAGGGGTCAGAAGGAAACAGCCCGGCCAGCGCTGCAGAGGTGGGGCTCCCGGGGCCTGCAGTTCCTCGGACACCCTCCTTCTGGGACCTCAGTCTTGCCCTGATTGTATCATATGGTGTTTTAAGTCATAGAATTCGCGGTTGGGAAGGGGGCGGGGTCACAGGAAAGGGGCGCAAACCCCGCGGGGGCTGCTGCTTTGGTCACTCGGCGCATCCCTTGGCTGAAACAGAGCTGTCCTGTCGCGCCTCCAGCGCGGCCCCACCTACCTTCCGTGGTTCCAGAGAGGGTCCTCAGGGGCGCCAGCAAGTTGGGCAGCAAGCCCTGCAGGGGCGCGGCCCGGAACTCGGCGGGGACGAACACCAGGGACGGGTCGAAGGCGATCTCCTCCAGCTGCGCCTGGTCAGCGGCCTTGCTCCCCACGGCGAAGGTCAGGATGCCGCTGCGCTTCAGCTCCTGGGCCGGCCGGCTGACCTCGTCCTGCGACCGCCCGCCCGTGATGAGCACCAGCAGCCTGGGCACCCCCTCGGCGGCGCGGTAGCCGGTGGCGCCGGTGAACAGGTTGCTGCGCACGTAGTCGAGCGCGGAGCCCGTGTAGAGGGCCGGGCTGTCCAGGGGCTGCATCCGCCGCAGGGCGGCCACCACGTCCCTCTTGGAGGAGTAGTTGTTGAAGTAGAACTCGGGCCGCACGCTGTCTCCGTACTGCGCCACGGCCACCTGGATGAGGTCCTGGCCGATCTCCAGCTTCTGCACCACTCGGATGATGAACTCCCGGATGGCGTTGAAATTGAGGGGCCCCAGAGCTGCCGAGCCGTCCACCAGGAAAACTATGTCCCTCTTGTTCACCTCGATGACTGTGGGCAGCAACGCGAGAAGGTGAGTGCAAGGCCTTAGTGCGCGCTCCGCTAGCCCCGCGCCCCACCCCCTGGGCCCCCCGGCCCCGCCTGCCCCAGGCGGGGCACCCCAGGGAGACGGTCACGCCTGTGTTAGTCACGGCCCGCCCTCCCCCACCCACTACTGCTCTCTTTTACAAAACTGTCGCCCAGAGAGGAACCCCATTCTAGTAGGGTGCGCTCAGCCCACGTGGGCTTAGAGGCCAGGCCGGGGCGGCCCCCCATGCGCCCCTCGGCCCCGGCTCCCATCCACACGCACTGGCGGGGCGTGCACAACCGCGCGAGCATAAGCGCCCCCTTCCCTCAGTCTGTTTCCCACATCTTGATTTTTCAGAGAAGAAAACCAATTTCTTGATCTCATAAAATTTATAAAAAGGAAGGCAGCTTCAAAACCAGCAAGTGACACAAAGCCCTTTCCAGAAACAGACTCGCGTGGGCGTCTGTGGTTGCACCCCCAGACTGGCCTGCCTGGACCCCCATGGGGCAGCCTCGTCAGTTGGCCACATCCTGCTGGCAGTGAGGCCCGGGGTACCATGGGGCCGGGGGCGGGAGGAGGGAGGAGAGCGACCACCCGCGGGGCCTGGGCCTCTGCCCTTAGGGGAGCGTTAGGGCGAGCAGGCAGCTCTGCCCCTGCAATCAGGTCGTGGGGGCATGGGGGACGGTGCATGGGGGAGCGCGTGGGAACAGAGGTGTGGGGGTGCGGTGTGGGGATGTGGTGTGGAGTGGGGCAGGGGCATGGAACAGAGGTGTGGGGGGCAGAGATATGGGGGGGCTTGGGGATACGTTTGTGGGGGCAGGTGGGGAGCCACGGGGGTGGAGGTGTGGGGCGGGGCCGGGGAGCTGGGGGCTGGGGAAGGCAGGGACATGGGGGCGCAGGGGAGCAGGTGTGGAGGTGGGCGCGGGGGGGAGGTGTGGGGCGGCCCAAGGGCTCCCTCGGTGGACGGTCAGCGGGGGGCGTCAGCCCTGGCGGTGTTCATGTGCCGGTGGACGCCTCCTCTCAGGAGCTCGCCCCTGAGAGCCACAGCGTCTGGGTGGGGCTCTGACCCCAGCGGTGGAGCTCGGGGCTTCCTGGCCCTCGGGGTCGGCACAGCCACCCGCTGACACAGGGGTCCTGGGCTGGGTGCTGACCGGTGCCAGGGCCACGGTCTCCTGCCCCTCGCTGGCCAAGTCCACGAGAAGGACCACAGAGAGCAGCCGCCGGCCAGCCCCAGCGGCGCCCGAGACACCGCCCCCCGTGGGTCGGGAGCCGCCCAGGCCCGTCCTTGCCAGGTGGTGACACAGGACCAACAGCTGCGCTTCCAGCCACCGCCCCAAGCCTGATGCGCAGCTCCTGGCTGAGGGGCGCCCGTCCCGCCCCAGCCTGGTGAGGACCCATCTGGAGCGAGTCAGCCCCCTGTTAAGTGGCAGCAACAATCTGGGGAGACCGCGAGGCCCGGCCTCGGCCAGCAGGGCTCAGTCACGTGGCGGCCAGAAGCAGACGCAGGTCACAGCGCCCTGGGCACGGGAAAGCCTGGGCCAGAGCGAGGAACTTTCTAGGAATGCAAGTGCCGCCTCTAGTGTCTTTTTAAAATGCGGCTCATTCCCAAGCAGAGCAGGGCCGTGCGGCTGGGCAGGGCAGCCCTGCAACTGCCTGGAGGTGGCATCTTAAGACAGAGGGGCCTGGGGGCCACGTGCTCGGAATCCGGGGTGGCCACGCCTGGTGGGGAGTGTAGCTTTGTGAGCACTGAGGCCTCGTCTGATACAGCCCTCGGCGCCTGCTGACCGGTGGTGACCCCAAGTCGCTGAGCCTTTCCTTGACATCCCACTGTCACCATGGCAATGTCCCTCGGGGCTTCCTTCCCTCTTGGTTGTCTGTTGACCTTTGATCTTTGCCTTGGCCTCCACTTTGCTGCAGAGAGATCTGGAGGGTGGCTGTGCCACTCGTTGGGGGTCCAGCCTGCGCCAGAGCCCCGTCCAGCAATGGTGGCCGTGAGCGGTTCCTGCGGAGCCCAGCTGAGGCCGACGTGTGGGGCAGGAGCAGGGAAACAGCGCTAGGGAGCAGTTTTTACCACCTCCTCCCACCCACAGCCTGACGATGCAGTCCAAGGATGGGCCTCCATGGCCAGGACAGACGCCCAGATGTGGGGAGACACGGAAGCGGGTGGAGCAGGAACCCCGGGGGGGTGCTGAGACGCACAGAGGCGGGTCCTGGGCAGAAATCCCCTCTGGTTAGGAAGAGGCCGCTGATGATTTTGACGGAATTCCGAGGAGCGCGTATCAGGTAAAGCACCTCGAGCTGGGCTTCGCCAAACATAACAAGCCCTGAGCACGCTGATGACTCAAGGAATAATTGAATTACTGACTTTGCTTCGGGCTGGGCCAGGCTCCAGACCCCAGCCTCTCGGGAATCCCGGGGTTCTGGTGTGTAGGATAAGGCAGCTGTGCCACAATGGCCTCAGCAGGAGACTGGAACCTTGGGGCCCCTGCACCGCCTCCAGGACAGGGACACATCCTGGGCAGAGCCCTCGGGGGGCCGCCCAGGCCCTCTCACCGCGGCCCCGGGCCGGGATTGGCCGCTGCTCCTCAGGAGGTAGGCCTGAACCCAACAGCACGGTGTCCCCAGGACGCTGCTCCCTGCGGGCCTTGCAGGCCAGGGGTGCGTGACCATCCCCCCTCCTGTTTCAAACACAGTCTGCCAACCAGTCGCCCACAGTGCTGCCCACTCTGCTCCCTGCTGCCGTGCTGGGACGCCTGGCTCCAAGGGAGCCCCTTCAGATGTCCCTCGCGCCTGGTCATCTTCATGGCAACGCCCCCTCAGACATGTTGACGAGCCCCCAGGTGGACATTAAGTGCTCCGCTCTCTGCCCCCACCGATCCACTGGCCCTCACCGCACAGGCCACAGGGGGAGGGGAGGGGAACCTCCCCGGTGCTCTTGATCGTCCCCCTTGGCTCCTCGGCAGCGGGGCCCAGGCGTCCTCTCCCTCCATACGCGGTGGAAGCCGCCGGCGGGCAGCCACCGTGGTCATCGAAGTCTTTGCTGCGATGGTTGCCCAGGCCATGAGTGGCCCCTGCCCAGGCGCCACGAGGACCACGAAGCTGAGGGCTGAGCCCAGAACCAGCCTTCTGAGGAGTCCCAGTGACTCTGCCACCCAGAACTGAGCTGGGTATTTCTGGAAAGTGTTGGGGGACACGGAGACCCTAATTGACTAAACGGCACCCGTTGGCCTGACCTGGGTCATGAACTTGGAGCCAAATGAAGGGAGAGCAGAGTCTCAGGACACTTTATCAGGTGGGGACATCGTGGACACCCGAGGCCCCCGGTCCGGCTGCACAGAGCCTCGGCCTTTCTGGTGTGCAGACGGCTGCCCCTCACAGCCAGAGCACTCTCTTCTGGTAGGCAACGCCGGGAAGATGGACCTGGCCCTGCCGCCTCGTGCAGTGGGTGTTTCTGGCGTCCCTCCAGGGCCCAGAGCCCTGGGCTGACATGACGCTCCTGGGTGTGTGGTGGCGCCTGCGGCTCACGTTCTACTGTTGGCTCTTCCCGAGCAGAAGCAGCTGGAGGATGTCTGGGACGCCACGTCCCCTCAGAGCCAGCCTGGCTGCGGTGGGCAGCCCCGCAGTCCCCCTGCAGGCCACACCCGGGAGGACCAGCAGCTCTGCGGGCCTCACTGTCCCCGCGTGGGAAGCTCACCCGCCACCGCCCGCATTCGTGGGGTCGGGATTTGTTGTGTGGTTGGTGAGTTTCATGTTTTTGAAATGACCCCCATGGGTTGTCCATTTGCGTGGCCATAAGCCCACCTCAAAAGAGCCACTGGGAAGCACAGAGGGCCCCGGGGCCCCCACTTGGACGTGGGAGCAGGCGTCCAGCAGCGACTCTCAGGGAGGAGCCACGAGCCACACCCAGCGTGGCAGAGCCCTGAGGCCGCTTTCCAGAGGCGGCTGACGCACAGAGGACGCAGCCACGGTGACGACACAACCACGGCGACGACGCTCAGTGCCAGCGCATCCTGGATCTCCTGGAGAACTTGAGCTCCGAGCCCCCCCGACCCCCTGCCCGATTTCAACCGTGGACGACACGTCCAGCAGCCAGTGCTTCTCGGAGGGACTCGGCTGAGGTACTTACAGCTTCTCCCGAGGCCAGTCATCCTGGTACCCGCTCACTGCGCCCCCCAACGCGCCTCCCCCCGCGGGAGGAGAGGGCATACGTACCTTGTGTGACAATGGTTGGCGGCTGCAGCACAATGTGCCTTTGGGCCACTCCGACAATGTAGGGCAGTAACTGCTCCTGGAGCTCCCCCAAGCTACGGAATTCCGGGACCGTGAACACCAGGTTGTCATTGGTGGCCACGTGCTGCAGCTCTGCCCTGGAGGCGGCCTGGGCTCCGAGGCCGAACGAGAACACACTAGCCTGCTTCAGGGCCACCACCCCGTCGTGGATCTCGTCACTAGAGGGCCCGGCACTAATGAGGACCAGCACCTGGGGAACCCCTTCCTCCACGCGGCTGCCCCCCACCCGGGTGAAGTGGTTCTCCACCACGAACTCAAGGGCCTGGCCGATGTTGGCCAGCTCCCCGCCAGCGAACCCCAGGGCCTTCACTGCATCCAGAACCTGCGCCTTGGTGGGGTAGGTGTCCAAGGAGAACATGGTTCTGGGCTCATCGCTATACTGGACCACCCCCACTCGGGTCTGCTGAGGTCCGACCGAGAGTCTCTCAAGGAGATTTACAAGGAAGTCACGAATGACCGGGAAATGGACACTTCCGGTGTTGTTTGATCCATCAATAAGGAAAATAATGTCAGCGGAGTCTTGTGCTTTAAAAGAAAGAAATGCAAAAAAATGTGAAAGCGTTAGGACCAGTGACCACATGCATCGCTCAGTGTTCTGACATGTTTCTTTGCACACCAGTAAGAAACACGCAATCTGGACACACAGACAGACACAGACCAAGGGCGTGAGTTTCTCCTCTGCATTCTGAATGGATAAGAGGCAACTTTGAGACAGCTGGGGCGCAACAGGGGACGTGAAGCACATTTTCTCCTGTGCCACCTTTGTCACTGGATTTTAGAGCACAGTTGCTTTTCTAAGGGGGACGTCTTGGGTACGTGTTCTAGAAATTTCTAAAGGCCCAGGAGGATTTCTAGTCTGGGGGATTTTCTCTTCTAATCCTGCAGTGATTATAAGAATTTTCTTTGTCCAAATCGACAGCTGCAGAGTGGAATCTCAGAACATGTGGGTGACTCACCACCCCATGTGTTAAATACGTCATTCCTCCAGCAACTGCTGTTTCTTCTGAGTTTCTTAAAAAACTAAAATGGCTACATCCATGCAACTCTGGGGCCTGAGCGAACCACTCCAGCTGCTTTTGCAGGTTTGATTCTGAAATACTCTGATACGTTTTTGGTTCGATTTTCTTTCGTTTCTCTAGCTTCTTAGTTGGTTAGATGCAGTGCGGGGCTGGGGCTGGGCTTGTGGCCTCCTGGGCCTCGTCCTGCCATTGCCTCTGTATTCAGTCACACAATGCAGAGCCGTGTTAGGCGGAGTGACAGGAAGCCAGTCATGACATCATTATCCAACCTTGTTTTTATGACGCCCTAACATTGCCTCGCGGGCCGGAGCACTGAAAGCAGAGTTTGCTGGGCTTGTACAAATGGACCAGGAGATGCTGACCAAGACTCGCCCCTCCCCACCAGGACAGCGTGACTCTTCCATTTGTTTCTGAGAATAGGGCTTTCTGGAAGCACTGAGCGAGGAATAACAGCCCAGGTACGCACAAACCTGGATGGAATATTCCAGAGAGTCAGCTAAAAAGCTTCTACTCTTCAGAAGAAAAGCAGAATCCATATTCTCATAAATGGAACAAGTGTTTCTCTGGGACAGGAAGAGGCTCCCTGTGGGTGTAGATGATGTTCACCCTCTGGACTGCCGGAGGTGTGATCATACATACATATTTGTTCTGGTTTTTTCAATGGCAGACAATATTTTATACTTAAAATTAATTTTCCTTGGGCTAACAAAATTGCTTTTATTGTTGCTATGGAAGCAGATACAAATCTTATCTCATAAAATTTGGCTGTCCTGCAATTCTGTTCTCCCCAAGTGCTCTCGCTGTGACACGGAGCCGGGCTCACACGCCCTTTCTTCCCAACATCCCTGCACATAGAAGGACAGGGCCTTGGAGATACCGTATATGATCTAAGCTATGAACTTGGAAAGAGCTTAGGAAATATTTAAGGAGAATTTTTTTTTTGCTGCGGTATTTAAGTTCCTGTGTTTTCAATAACTGTCATGCAAAAGGGTAAAATAAGACTGGGATCCTGCTAAGAATTCCAAAGCATTTGCTGCTCTGTGGCCCAAGCATGAGACCCAAGAGGGCCGCTGGGAGGGTGCTGGGCCCGAGGGGTGACCCACGGTGGCCACCACCCCCCAGCACTCGACCAGAGGCTCGCAAATCACACCTGACCTCCTCGCACATGGAAGCCAGTGGCCCCGAGGGCCGGGGAAGGTGCGCCCCTACCTGGCACGCCAAGACGGTTAAAGGAAGGAAAGAAATGAAAGAAAAACGGTGCCTGAATCACAGGTGCCCCGCGCCTTCCTCAGTTACCACTGACTTGGGGGTTGTCATTTGCAATAACCTAAGTAAGGGGAGTGGACTCTGGGGGAAAGCCCTGGCCAGTTCCCTTCCGCAAGGCCCTCAGGCACAGGCCATAGAAAAAACGTTGGATAATCTGCCATCACCGAGGCACCAGAGCCCTCGCACCACGGGCGGACACGGGGCATGCTGTGTTACCGGAACAGCGCTCAGCGGGCACGAGCCACGGGCCCCGTGCACAGCAGGGCATTCCAAGGGGGCACATGGAGGACCCCGAATGTGTCAAATTAAAGAGGCGAAGCTGTCTGGGCACAGTCCTGCCCCTCCATGGCATGTTCCATGGAAACATACAGAAGGACAGGCCAGGCCCCTCCCTGAGCCTGAGAGGGACGCGCCCTCGCAGGAGATGAATGTTAAAGATCGTTCTTTCTTCCTAGGCAAACGCAACAGTGTAGGTTGGTTCTGTGAGCATTTGCTGTCTTCCTGATGTGCACAGGAGAGAAGCTGGCTCCTCAGGCCCCCTTCACTTTGGCTTTAGCGTAAAGCTCTGCCTCGATGATCTCCCTTTTCAAAAGAACGATAAAGGAATTTTTTTAACATTTTCAGGGATTGACGGCTGGGGTAGAGTTCATTTAGAACACTGGCATCGTGGACATATACATATATATACACACACACACACACAAGTGTATATATATATTATATAAAATAAATAATCCAGGACTTTCTATGGGGACCATTACCTACAGCGCAGGTAATGGGAAAAGACGACCCTCACCTATCAGCAGTTTCCATGACGCCCCTGACTATCTTACCCCAAAACTGAAGGAATGGCTGTTGTTATGGATTGGTGGGTTGGCTGTGGGGCATGCAGCGGCCATGACATGGGAAGAGCTGCTCAGTGACGTTAATCAGAAAAGATCACGTGGAGGGATTAATGCACCTGCTCGTGGCTTGGACACTGGACAGAGACGCTTTCTTGGCATAAAAACAAAGGTTTCTCATCTGTGCACAACGGCCCGAGCTGGCCGCCCACCCAGGACTTGCAGGTGGACTGCGTGTGGGTTGGCCACTGCTAAGCGTGAAGGAGGCTCGTCCACGCTCTAGTCTCAGTCGGTCAAGGAAGACACGTCCTTCCCCACCCCTGGCCCTCCATGCCGGGCCAGCTCTTACCCCTCTCCTCAGAAACGGGACGGGAACTGTGGGCACTGGGCATGAGGCACCAGCAGAGTGGGTGGTGACAACTCTGTCTATACCACCTGTCATTTCCCCATAACCCAGAGGGATGGGGTCGGGATTCTTTTCCTGCAGCCTGGCAGGACCAGCATGCATCCTGTGCAGCGCCAAAGTCTGTGGTCTGCAGTGGGGACGCCTGTTTGGGGCGCATTGAGTGGCCCGACTGCCCCCCACTCCGCCCTTTTAGAGGCGGCACCCACTGGGCACCAGCATCCTCCTGGAACACAGCTGAGGCCGTGGGCCGCCCGGGGAGAGGCTTCGCGCACACCCTCCCGAAGCCATCCTCTCAGCCCACAGCCGGCCGCCTCCCCTGACATGAGGCGGCTCCTGCCACATCCCTACTCCGGCTCGCTCTTCTAGAAAGCTGGTGTCTGGTGCTGTTCCGTCAACTCCCCCGTATTCTCTGCATGAGGAAGCTCTCCCTTCCCCTGGACCCCCCTCTGTCCTGCCGCAGCCCCTCCCCTGGCTGGAGCTGAGCCTCAAAGCCTCCCTTCATCTTCGTCCTCCTCTGTCTGCCGTCTTGTGTGAACAGAGGGGGCTCCCCACCAGGGCCTCACATCCAGATTTCTGCCTCTGAGGCCCTCTTGGCGGCAACTGTTCTCGAGCGCAGGAGAGAAGTGGGCGCCCTGATCGCCCGCTCTGCGCTGTGCCTGCCTCGCGCCCTGACCCAGCCCCGCCCAGCCAGCCGAGCTGGGCTGGGGAGCTGCTTGCTACTGGACTCTGACTCTCCCCCCAGGCCTCCTCTCTGCTCCGTCATCCCTCTGTGTGGGCGCCAAACCTGGGAACGCCTTTGCTTCCTAGAGTGCCTGACGCAGCTGCAGAAAGCCGGGAGCCATGCTACGGAGCCCCCAGCAAGGACGCTCTGGCAACAGCTCAATGTCCCTTCAAGCTGCGGCTGCTCCCCAAATGTTTTGTGTCCCTGCGGTGACTCCAAGGCCCCCGGGCTCCCAACACCACGGCCCTTCTCCTCCCGTCGCCTCTTCTTACCAACACCAACTCAGGCTGGACCTGAGTCCAGCACCTCCCTCCCGTCTACGCAAACCTCGCCTGCATCTCGGAGGACACACATCTCCCTTCGGGACCCCTCAATACCCCGCTATCCGCCTGGAGCTCTTGCTGTCAGCTCTCCAGGGCTGCGCGGACTCGCTCCATGGCAAGGGGTCCCTCTGTCCTGCCACACCGACGCACAGCTCGCCGGGGCACGGCCAGGGGGGCTGCTGCGAGGCTCCTTCCAGACTTCCCTGGTCAAATCCTTCCCTACAGTCTTCGTGACACCTGGCGTGGGAAAGAGCTAGCGAGTCTGGCTGGTCAGTGACAGACACCAGTGACGTCTGCACTCATGCAATGGCATGCAGATGGCGTGTGCATGCGTGATCAGCACCCCAGAGCACCCCGAGGGCGGGAACAAATCGCCTGTGGGCCAGGTGGCTGCAGGGGGGGAGCCGGCAAGGAGCAGTCAGGGCCTCCACGCCGGGCCCCACCACCCACACTCCTGGGACTCAATGTCTTCAAACTAGACTGGGCTGGGTCATGGCTAAGGTCTCTACGATCCCGGCCCTGCTGATTCCCGGAGGCGAGTTCCGCAGAGCAGCCGGGGGCAGCTCGCGGACACAGGGCGGACCCCCTCCCTAGCTCGGCCACTCCAGGGTGAAGCGGCCTCTGCTCTGAGACAGAAGGGTGGGCGGACTGGCCCCTGCCTGCTGAGTCTTGGTCCCTCCCGTCCTGGGAAGGTGGGTGCGCTGCCTCTCAAGGGGCCGCAGATCAGCGCGGGCACTTCGAGTTAAAATGGGGCCTGTCCCCAAGCACGCCCTGTCCCTGTGGTGGGCGCTCACTTCAGGAGACCACAGAGGATGTTCAAACCTTTGTTTTTAACCCTCGAAAAGCCATCTCTGCCCCACTCCACCTGCCCTCCTCCAGCCAGAGAGCTGCTCAATGCCAGGGGAGCCAAGCTTGTCTCTGGGGGCGGCCAGGCGGCGGCGTGGCCATGAGGCTTTACCTGTGACATCTTTAAGGGTCTCTGTGTCTCCAGCCCTCCCTGGGGCCACGGACGACTGCACGCAGGCCACTACATCTCCCACTACGTCACGAAGGGAGGTTACGTTCTCTAGGTTGGAAACATGCACCCTGAGCCGTCCTCCAGCCTTCTCCTCGACGCCTGCGTCCCCAGCGCCGACTGCAGACAGGTTACCGTCAGCAGACTTAAGCTCCCCCGAGGGCAGAGCGAGGCCATCCTCCGAGTGTCCGTCGGTCACCACTACAATGACCTGGGGGACGCCGTCCCCGGCCCGGCTCCCGGCAACCTCGGCCAGGTGGTGCTGCATCACGTACGCTAGCCCCTGTCCAGTCTGGTTGCCGCCCCCGGCGTAGGCCATGCCAGACACGTGGGCGAGGACGTCTTGTCTAGAACTGTACGAGTTTAACAGGAACTCGGTATGTGGGTTGCCGTTGAACTGGACCAAGGCAAAACGGAAATCGTTTTCTCCCACAGCTAAAGCTTCTATAACATCATACAGAAACTCCCGAACAAGTTGGAAATGGTCCTTCCCAGGGCTCCGAGAGGAATCCACTAGAAATATTATATCGGCAGCCGCACCGTTTTTGACATCTTTAAAAAAAGACATTGGTTTAGCTGTTTCTCCCGTCCAAGCGGTTGCTCCCTATCAGCTCACAGCCGCCCTCAGCTCACCCCGGGGGCCCCGCGCCGTCCCCCAGCGGGCCAGCCTGGCGAGCACGGCAGGTGCAGGCAGGCGGGCAGCTTACCTGAGAGGTGGGGACCCGGCCGAGGACTCAGCTCGCTGGTGCCGACATCGGCCCACCCTGGCCGGGCACCGGGAGCACTAAATGGAGGCCCGCCAGCCACACAGAGGACCGCGGTGTCTTGTAACACCAGCAGGGCACCCCCAGCTCTCCTCCAACCAACCGGCTTATAAATGCACAAATTTGTGCTTCGGTTAGGAGTCTGAACCTGGGCCTCGGTAAAAAGGAACCTTGGAAGCTACTAGTGTTTCTCCTCCACTGACCCCCTAGTGCCTTGTGTAATTTGCAAAAATAAATAAATAGACTCCTTTCCGGGAAGACGCCCCACGCACATGGAGGCAGAGGCGAAGGCTCCCTCTCGCCAGACGCCCTAGCGTGAAGAAAGGCTCTCTACCCAGCCACTGTGTGTTTTTCAGAGCCAGGAAACCCCTCTTAGATGTTGTTCTTTATTCATCTCTTTCAAAGATGAATCAAGTTCTCCCACAGAAGGTTTTGGGGGTGCAGGGTGTCAGACTGGGACGTTGAGGCCACCCTTCTGCAGGTGGGGACCAGGCTGGTGGGTCCCAGCTGCCCCTGCACTCCACTTACCTTGACAGACGCCCCAGCCAACACCCCTCAGTGAAGGGCACCCCTACCAGCAGAGCACACTGCCTGCAGGGGCCTCGAGTCGGGGCAGCCCCCAGACGCACGCGGCAGTGCTCCAAGAAAACCCTGCGGGTGGTTTCTTTAAAAGGTTCGTGAGGATCAACTCTTTTCAGTAATTTTGGGAAACTGGTTTTTTAAATCTTTAAAGTCTAGATGAAAAAATGTCTCTGTGTCCAGCACTATAGAGAGGGGGTGATCATTACAGCTTTGCCCCCCCCGGGGAAAATCAAGTTGACTCTCAACAGCACCAACGGCTGTTTTTTCGTGTTCGCGCCACCCAGAGCCTGGTGGAGGGCACTTCGGAGGGTGAGATATTTGCAATTCAAGCTTTCTGCATACCGGGTATCAAAACACACCACTTGCAAACCAGGTCCCTGGTATCAAACACAGGCTGTAGTAAAAGAAACCATCTCCACTGGGCAAAGAGCGTTTAGCCTGGGCACGGAGGCCCTGGCTCGCTCGCAGAGGCCAGCCCGGCCCGCAGGCCATGGAAGACGCGGCTCTCTTACCTGCTTGCTGCTGCGCGCCCGTCAAGGAGAGGCCTGAGAGGAGGAGGCACAGGAGGCCCGCGATGGGCAAGTGGTGTTTCCTCATCGTGGTTTTGTCTGAGCACCAAGTGTGAACCTGGGAGGGGAAGTGAGGGGAGAGTCGTCAGCGCTCCTTCCCAGAGCCCCCTGCTCAGAGGGCCTGGGGCTAAAGTCTGTGGGTCTAGAGAGGTCGAGCGAGGCAGGCGCATGCCCAGTGGGGGGCGGGCTGCAGAGGGCTGGCGCTGGTCCCCACGCACGACAGCCGCGGGCGGGCAGTCCCAGCTGGACATGCGGATCCTGGGTAGAGGGCCGTGCCAGTGCCGGGGAGGAGGCATTGCCCCCCACGGCAGGTGCCCACACAGGGCCTCCAGTCTTGCCCAGATTCTCTAATGTGATCTAGGTCTTTGGTTCCCGCGAAGTTCTGCTATCTGCCCACCTCCCGCCTCCGCAGGAGCAGTCTCGGGGGGTGGCTCTGCAGGCTGCAGGGCAGACCTGGGGGCTGACTGTGGGCTTGGCATCCCGTCCCCATGCCCCAGGGGGCTGCCACAGGACCTCCAGGGTCAGGCTCACGTCCAGATGGGCTCAGATTCTGTCACTAGACACCCTCTCCCCTACAGACTGCAAAGCAGCCCCACCCCTCAGCAAACCTTCCTACCAGCCTCGTCACCTGCACCCCCAGCCCAGTGAGATCAGCGTGGGGCTGGGTCCCCTGCAGAGGCTGACTGGGGTCTCTGTCGGCCAAGACAGCACCTCGTTCCTCCTCCCCTTAGCCAAGGTTGTGGTCTCTGACGTTGCCTTCCCACAGGGCCCTAGGCTGGCATAAGGTTTTCCTGTCACTCTTGAAATTTCTGACAACTCTTGGGCCGGAGCCTTCATTTTTCCTTTGCACTGGTCCCACAAATCCCTGTGAGCTGGGCCTGGCTGCAACTGGCACTTAGCCGTGAGCTGTTCCCCTTAACCACACTGGACCCAGGACACACTTAGCCGGACAGGACACCAGGGAGGGACACGCAGCACATGTGGGCTGGCATGTCATCAAACCACCGTCTTTGATGCCATGTTGTCAAGAGTCCTTTAGCACATACTCTGTGCCAACCGAGGTTTTCATAGTTAGTCTCACTCGTTTTGACATCACCCATCCAGGTAGATGTTAATCCCCTGCTTATGAGGAAGGAACTGGGGTACAGAGAGTCACCGGCCCAAGCACACAACTGTTAAGGGATGTCTGGGCGCAAAAAAACACCTGCTACTTTGAAGCTTAATAAAAGGAAAGGATAATAAGATAGACTTTTTTTGTAACCCATGACAACTTGTAAATCAGGTTCAAGAGTCTGAATTTGGAACATTTTAGGAATCACATAAGGAATCAATGGTGTTGGGAATAGGGTGATAGAGAGACCTGGATCCACCACACATTATCTTGGACAGGGCATATCATGGCTTTAAGTCAGTTTCCTTGTTAATAACACAGGAGCCATAATAACTCTCTTGCAAGCTTCAGGTGGGGTTGGAAAGGACCCAGAAGAAATATTACAATCATGAAAAAGAAAAGCAAAGCTAGAGGCCTCGCATGTTCTGATTTTAAAACATATTGCAAAACCACAGTAATTAAAACAACATGGTACCTGAAGAAAGGCAGAAATATCACCCAATGGAATTAAATAGAAATCCCAGACATCAAGCCTCACATTTATGGTAAAATGATCTATAAGGGAGTCTAGCTCACACCGTGGGGAAAGGAAAGTCTCTTCAACAGATGATATTGGATGAAATGCACACCTAGGTACCAAAAAATGAACTTGGACCCCCCACCTTACACCATTTACAAAGCCAGCTCGAGATGGATTAAAGATGTAATCCTAAAAGGTAAGACATGAAACTATAAAACTGCTTGGAGAAAAACCTAGCAGGAAAGCTTAATAACATCTGGTTTGGCAATGGTTTCCTGGATGTGACACCAAATGCAACAGGCAACCAAAGGGAGAACAGAAAAGTGGGACCACATCAGATTTAACCTGTGCAGCAAAGGAAACTATCAACAGAGTAAAAGTAATCTACAAAATAGGGGGAATTATTTGCAAACCATTAGATCTGAAAGGACCTTAATATCCAGAATATAAAAAGAACTCCCACAACTCAAAAACAAACCAAAAAAATCTCATTTTAAAATGGATAAAAGAGGCCTCCCTGGTGGCCTAGGGGTTAAGTCTCAGCGCTATTATTGCCACTGCCTGAATTCAATCCCCGGCCAGGGAGCTGCCCACGTGGCGCAGCAGACCTCTCCTGTCTTCCCCCGGCCCCCGGAGCAGTGGATTTCAGTGGATCTGCCTGTTCTGCTCCCCACTCTGTCTCTGGTGAATCCTCTCACACCCACACCTCTGGCCTGTACCCCAGCTCTACGCTTAAAAAAAATTAAATAATTGGGTAAAGGACTTGAATAGACGTTTCTCCAATGAAGACACACATGTGATCAACACGCATAAAGAAGGTACTCAGCATCACCAACCACCAGAGAAATGCACGTCACAGCCATGTAAGACGCCACCCAGACCTGCTGGGGGGCCGCGGTCAGAAACAGGACATGAGGAGAGCTTGTGAGGCGGCAGCGTGGGGGGCCCTGGGCACTGTGGGCTGGGAGTGAGGCGGTCACTTTAGAAAACAGCATGGGGGGTCCTCAAAAAAGTTGGAATTACCCAACAACCTCACTTCTAGGCATACGTCCAAAGTAACTGAAGACGTGGTCTCCAGAGATACACGCACAACTTGTTCATTTTCACAGGATTCACGACAACCAAGAGCTGGAAACACCCAATGTCCATCGGGGAAAGGACAAAGATAATGGGGCGTATCCTCCAAAAGGGATTAGCCGCCTTCAACAAGAGGGCAGCCCTGCCGCGGCCTCGCGGGGAGGAGCCCTGAGGACAATGCAGGTGGATTAAGCCAGTCACAGAAAATCACGTGCCACGTAGTCCACGCAGGAAGCATCTCGAGCGTCAGGCCAGCAGCAGCAGAGAACAGACCTGCAGGAGCATCCATGAGCTCCCTCCTGCCCACGCTCAGCCCAGGGATGAGCCAGAGCCAAACCCTGTGGTCCGCAGTGGGGGCGCGTGGACCACAGAGTGTGGGGAGCGCAGGCCGCTGAGTGTGGGGAGCCCGGCCCCGGAGTTGGCCCCCCGCCGGGCCTGCCAGAATCGGTGGGACGAAGCTGAAAGCGCATCCCGGGGACCGGCGTCCAAGGCCCGCCGTGGCTTTGCTTTCCAAGGAAAGACGGCAGAGGCACCGCCTCGACGGGACAGATCTGCCCGCGGTTCCCATTCTCGGGGCTGAGACACGGTCTCGCGGCTAACGGTCCCCACGGCGTCCTCCTGGCAGCACAGCGCGGGGGACGGGACAGGCTGTCGTGAGGACGCCCGCGAGCCGGCCAGCGCGAGGACAGGCGTCTCCACAGCGAGGCGCCCACGGGAGCGCGCGGGAGGGCACAGGCGCAGCGCGACAGCCAGGCCTGGGGCCGAGCACGCAGGGGCAGGCCCGGGTCCCCTCCATGGCTGGTCCACAGTGACCCCAAGTCCTGGTCCGTGTCGAAACCCCTCGTGACTGGGGCTTGCTGTCTCCAACGGGGCGACCTCCCGGGGCCCCGCCCCTCACGCTGCAGAGCCCCTCAGCCCACGCTTTCCCCTGGGGGCCTCCCAGGCCTCCCCACCCTGCCACCCCCTTCCCCCGCGCTGCCAGCCTGCTCCCGACTCTGCCTTTCCTGACAAGCGGAGCAGGCGCGGCGCCTGTGGCCGCCTGGCACGGGCTGGTGGGACCCGTGGCCTGTGCCCCGTGAGTCCTGATTCCACTGAAATCAAACAATGGCTTTTTTTTAATCAGCAAGACACAGCCCACTAGAGAGCTGCTTCGTGGGACAAGTGCCCACATTGTTTACTTGTCACTAGATTCCTGCGGGAAGGGCAGCCGGGCCTCGCCCGCCCAGCGCCCGGACCTGACGGACCAAGAACCGTGGCCCAGCTCGGAACAGGCGCGCGCGGGACGGGCGTGGGGCCGGGCGCTGGGGCAGCTCCCTGCTCGCGCGTGACTCTCAAGGGCGTCTCGACCTCCCACCCGAGGGTGGCAGCGCCCCTGCTCCGTCAAAGTTAGAATAGTCCTCGGGGGAGAGGAAATGCTGCCGCTGGCCCCGGGGGCGGCCTCGGGAGCCCAGTCGGGAGGGGGAGGAAGCGCTGCGCCCGCTCGTCTGCGGAGCACGGGGGACAAAGCAGAACAGGCAGAGCCAGACCGAGACGAACCCCCAAACTCTGATGGCAGGACTGAGGCTCCCCAGGAGGGAGGGGAGCAAGGGGCCCCAGGGTTTGGGGCGCGCTCAGTGAGTCCGCACACGCTCGCGGAGCTGCCTCCGGACCCTGGTCGGCCAGCGCCAGTCCCCGGGGCGCCCGCTGGCCACTGCCCGCTGGGCCCGGGCCCCCTGAGCTCGCGGCTCCTGCTCGGATGGGCCGGGATCTCCGTCCTCCCGAGACACGACTCCCGGGCCCCACTGCTCTCCACGGGAAAGGAATTTTGAGTTGGCTGAAATGGTGTGTGAAGACGATGATCTCCACCATATTAATCCCGGGACAGTAAAGCCCTAAGTGAAGCGTTTCCTGTTGAGACACGAAGTAATGACAAAAATACACACTGTGAGCGGCGGTTCCAGCCCGGATAATAAGGGGGGGCGGGGGGGCGGGGGGGCGAGGGCAGGGAAGCCCCCCGGGTCCTGGGACACGAGTGACACTCAGGCCGGGTGGAGCCGGCCCCGCGGGTGGGAAAAGCCGTCACCTCCACACCGTCCTGCCCCCCCCTCGGGCCCTGCCCCGCCCAGGGACCCGGCCCAGCGGCCGAGTACTGTCTGCCGTGAATTCTGCTGGCGGTGGCGTCTCCGCGTCCCGGTGCCCAAAACTGAAGCCCCCGGCAGCAGAGCTGGGAGCATTTTTCCACTTAGATTATTAAAGACGCCAAACACCACCTCACCCATGAGCCCCCGGTTTGCTCATTTTAATAAGGGGGGCGGAGGCGGCCACCCCACTCACTGGCCTCCCCCAGTCCTCCCTTCCACCCGTCCCCCCA